GCTCCTGGCTTGGTGTGCAGGGCTGCTGTCACAAAACACTGCCAAGCCGGTGGCTTCGAAAGCAGAATGTATTATTGCGTCCCGGTTCTGAAGGCCGAGAGTCCAAGTTCAAGGTGCTGGCAGGTCTGGTTCTTTCAGAGCTGCGAGAGAGGAACGGATCCAAGCACGTGCTGCCTTCCTGGTCACAGGGCGTGCCCCTGGCGTGTGTGTGTGTCCCCAAGATTCTCTTTCTATAAGGACACTGGTCGTATTGCACCAGGGCCTCCCTCTTGACCTCATTTTAAACTTGATGCCTGTAACGTAGATGCTGAGGTCCTGGCGGTGGGGATGGCCAAGGTGTATTTGCAGAGGGCTGCGGTCAGCTCCCCAGGTGTTTTGGGAGGGCCCAGCCTTGCCCGAGTGCTCAGCGCTGGTTTCCCTGTGAGGCTCGTGGTGATGAAGGCTTCCGTTTCTACAGCTTCCTGATTCTGGGGCTGCATTTCTGCCTGCCTGCCCGGGTCACCTCCCGACCCTGCTCCTCCAGCGATCCCTCCACATCTACACCACCGTCTCCCAAGTCAACCCTGACTCTGCACTTTGCCCTCCCACCTTCTCTCGCACCCCAAGGCGGCTCTCCGTTCCGCTTCCTGCACCCCGATCTCCACCAGCTTCCTTCCCGCAGTGACTGCAGCTGGGCTTTCCACTCTATGGTCTCTCACCTGCGTTGTTGCAGCAACTGTGGGTTCTCTGTCCCCACCCTCTGCAATCCTTTTCATCACACACAGGCAGTCCCCAACATATGATGGTTCTACTTACGATCTCTAGACTTTACACTGGAAACACAGAAACCGCACGTGTGGAGTAGCAGCCATGCTTGGAATTGAATATGGGTGTTTTCCCGGCCTACTGCCTTGCAGGTGCACGATACCACCCCCACCTCAGCCCCACCCCCATGAGGAGAAGCAGCCTGTGCCAGGCGGTGGGCTGTGTTGCTAGGCCCTGGTGTGTGGCAGGTATACTCAACACCCCTTCTACTTAGGACATTTACAGCAGGTTTATTGGGAAGCCGGGGAGCGTCTGTGTTTCCTGAACATTGGCTTTGATCAGGTCACTCTGTCAGTCAGACAGCTCCCAGGGGACTAATTCAAGCCCAGCGCCCTTGGCTTCGCGTTGGAGGGGGCGCCACAATTTCACAAATCATTCACGTCTCCTATTGCTGAGCTCAGACTGCCATAGTGAGATGCATGGGCTGGAGGGGCTTAAAACCAGGCACGCATCTCTTGCAGTTGTGCAGGGCAGCCGTCTGGGACCGGGGGCCAGCGTGGCCGGCTTCTGCTGGGGCCCCTCTTCCTGCCTCACAGGTGTCTGCCTTCTTGCTGTGTGCTCACATGCAGAGAGAGACAGAGAGCGCTCTTTCTTACTCTTCTTCATTTTCCAAAGTTTATTTGCATGTTATTTGAAAGGCAGATCTTCCATCCGTTGGGTCACTCCCCAGATGCCTACAACAGCTGGGGCTGGGCCAGGCCAAACCCAGAAGCTGATAACTCCATCTGGGTCTCCCGCGGAGGTGGCAGGGACAAAGCTGAGCCATCACTGCTGCCTTCCAGGGTGCACGTGAGCAGGAGTGGGAGATCAGAAGTAAGGAAGCCAGGGAGAGGCATGGGGTGGGGGGGAGCAGAGTTCGGATGTGGGTTTTGTGTGCGTTTTTAAAATTAATTTATTTATTTGAAAGGCAGAATTACAGAGAGGGAGAGAGAGAGACAGAGAGGTCTTCCACCTACTGGTTCACTCCCCCAAATGACCACAACAGCTGGAGCCGGGCCAATCCGAAGCCAGGAGCCAGGAGCTCCTTCCAGGTCTCCCAGGCAGGTGCAGGGGCCCAAGGACTTGAGCCATCTTCCTCTGCTTTCTCGGGTACATTTAGCAGGGAGCTGGATCGGAAGCAGAGCAGCTAGGACTCGAGCTGGTGTTCTGATAGGAAATGTGGGTGTCAAAGGTGTGGTTTAACCCTCTGTACCACAACACCAGCTCCTGGCAAACCCACTGTTGGCTCCTGGGCTGTGCAGAAACAGGCAGAGGGTCAGAGCTAGGCTGCAGGCGGCAGCTTGCAGATCCGAGTTTTAGAGCAGCTGGGAGGCGCCTTTCCCAACTGCAGACTCAGTCCCTGGAGGGTGGCGACCTCACCTTCCACTTAGGGGCCTGCACTGCCGGACTGTTACAGTCCCTTTTCTCAGGCCCTCTGCAGGCCCTCTAAAGCCACATCTTTGCAACACCCATGCCATTGCAGGAGCAAGTGTCCCTGAGGGGCCTGGCCCGTGGGAACCACTGAGAGCCACCTGCATCTCCTGCCACCACCATACTCCCATTGTCCCCTGCAGACACACAGCCGGGAAAGGACGCAGAGCCACAGCCCCAGCCCACCCATGCCCAGTCCTGAGTGCCACCAACCTTCACGTGGAGCGGGAGCGCCCGGGGCCCCTGACTGCTCTATGAAGCTCCCTCTCGGTCCCCTCCGGAGTCCTCTAATATGACTGCTGGCTAATTAAACCATCAAAGCCCCAAGTCCAGCAGCCCTGCCGGCAGCCTCCTAATGCCTGGTTTCAAGTGTTCAATCCGATGACGCTCGGAGTGGCCCAGCTCGCGCTTGCACAGCCAATTACTCCGCTCTTAACAACCACCCCTTGCACATCTGGAGCCTCAGCAGATGGGCTTTTTATTAGGCCTCCCTCCCTCTGGTGACTGCCTGCCTGCAGGCCACACCCCCACCCTGAGCCTGGCCACCCTCCCCACCCTCTGCATCTTGGGCCCAGCCCCAGTGCCCACGCCACGTGTGTCATCCTCAGTCTCCAGAGCACACAGTAGAGAGGCCAGGATGGTTCCTCGGCTGGAGAAGAGAGGCCCGGTGTTGAGCGAGGGCAGCTGGGGGCCTTTCTCTCCAGCCAGGCTGGCCAATTTTCCAGGAGGATGCGGGTGGTCGGCAGCATCAGATCGTGTGGCCCCAGTGGCCTGCCCAGCACGTGACTTCGTTAGCTGCTGGGAGAGGCAGGGCACAGCCAGAATCCCCATGAGGTGCACAGGACATCAGGCCCTCGGGGGAATGGGGTTGCCTGCAGGCGGCGTCCCCTGGAGACTTAAGGAAAACAGTGCAGGGGTCAGAAGGGGAGGAGCGCATCCAAGTCCTCCCTGCCAGGCTGCCGGTGTTCGCTCCATCGGAGACCAGGGAAGGTACAGAGCGCAGGGGTCCTCGTGGCTCCCCAAGGCCTGGAGAGCTCGGCAGGTGCACTTGCTCGGGTCTCTCTGCCCCTTGTGATAAAGCCACGGATGCCATGGTGACAGCCCCGCCCTCAAGACCTCAGCTAATGCTAATCACCTCCCAAAGGCGCCACCTCCAGAAGCCTTTCACCTAGGAACTTGGGAATTCAAGTTCAATTCAATGTATCAACTCTCGGGAGATACATGCATGAACTTGGGAATTCAAGTTCAATTCAATGTATCAACTCTGGGGAGATACACGCATACCGTAGTGTGTAGCGAGAAAGTTTGTCTCTGCGGTAGCAGCAGTAGTCCCAGTGATACAGGAAGTTGGGCCAGTGGCAGCCTAACGGTCAGGAGCAGTGGCTACCATTTAGGCGGTGAGAGATGACAGTGAGTGGCCGAGGGTGCCAGCCGGCACAGCGGGGAGTGGGATGGGTGGACCCTGGAGCTGGGAGCTTGCTAGTGCTGTGATCTTGCCTGACTCTGTGTCCCTCAATAGCCTCATCTGTGAAATGGACACAGCAAGTGTTAGTTTTCAGTCTTAGCCCTTTGGAGCTCTCTGTGACTTCTGTCCTGGACCCAGCCTGTGGAATCCTAATTCACAGACGTCCTCGGCAGCCTGAGCTGCTCCGGGCTGATGCACTGTGGGCCCTGCCAGCCCTCTGCCTCCGTCTCCTGGCCCTCATCCTCACTCCCCCTCATGGCCACATTGGCCTCCTTGCACGACCTTGAACTCAACAACCTCATCCTCCCCCCATGGCCTTTGCATGTGCCTGTGTCGCCTCTACCTCCTCCTGATTTATATTTTAGCACCACCTGAGCTCCCATCAATGTCGTATTTGCTTGCTTACTGTTTGTCTCCACTTACCCTCAATAATGCTGCAGGAAGCCAAGGGTGCTGGGTGCTCAGTACATACTAGTTGACTGCATGAGTGCCCCACTTCAAGGTCATGGTCATCTACTCCTCGCATGTCACTCAGCTGACTCGTCTGATCTCTGCTTGGACAGCTCACCAGGGTGTGCCTGCTGCCTCCCCGGGACAGTGGCTGTGTCCCTGTTGCTTGCCCAATATGTAGGCACGCTTCTGCCCAGGCAGGGTGACAACTGTGCAGAATCACCCAGGACAACGGTGATCCTTGTCCATGAGGTCTGATGCAGGTACGCTGGCCTCAGTCAGCCTGGGACATTTCCCCCAGCTCAGTTCATTGACAGAAGTGAAGGTGAACAGGTGGACTGGAGGTGTTCAAAGACAGGAGTTGGGGAGCGTTATCACAGAGAACCTGAAACCTGGGGCATGTGTCCTGTGCCTTGAAACTTTCTCCTGCACTCCTCTCTGGTTTCCCAGTACCTTCCAGAAGTGGTAAGTTTGGACTGTAGCAGGAATCCCAGGAACCTCAGCAAACTGAGCCATCCTCAGGTTTCCTCAGCGCTGGGCGCTGTCATCACCCAGAGAGACTGGTGGTATGTTTCAGTCATGTATTCATTCAACAAACGTTTGCTGAGTCTGCTCAATGTTGCGGACCCTGCGCTAGACCCCAGCAAGACCACCTTGGGCTTCCTGAGCTCTCTCCCCAGAAGGATCTTCCACAGTGCTTCCCCCTCCACAGGGAGAGGAAGCAGGACCCCCAGCACCCTGCACGTGTCCTCCAAAGGGGCCTGGGCTATTCTCTCACTGAGGGCAGTGGCGACTCCGTGCAGGTCCGGGGGGCAGATGCACAGTCCCCTCAAGACCCTGGCTAATGCTCCACCTGCGTTCTCTCCTCCAGCCCCCTGCCTCGGGCAAACAGTCCCCCACTAAGAACGGCAGCCCCTCCAAGTGCCCCCGCTTCCTCAAGGTCAAGAACTGGGAGACAGACGTGGTTCTCACTGATACCCTGCACCTTAAGAGCACCCTGGTGAGTACCTGTGGGGGCTGCGGGGTGCACCAGGGCCTGTCAACTTCGGCGCTGTCCCCATTTGGAACCGGGTCAGTCTTGGGAGGTGGTGAGGGTGGGGAGGACCACCTGTGCCTTGGCTTGTCACAACCAGGTGTCAGTACCCATCCCCACCAGGTGTCGGTACCCACCCCACCACCAAGTATCAGTACCCACTCCCACCAGGTGTCAGTACCCACTCCCACCAGGTGTCAGTACCCACCCTACACCAGGTGTGAGTACCCACATCCCCACCAAGTGTCAGTACCCACCCCCCCACTAGGTGTTGGTACCCACCCCCCCACCAAGTATCAGTACCCACCTCCCCTCTAGGTGTCAATCCCTACCCCACCACCACCAAGTAACAGTACCCACCCCCCACCAGGTGTCAGTACCCACCCCCACACCAGGTGTGAGTACCCACCCTATACCAGGTGTGAGTACCCACCCCCCACCAGGTGTTGGTACCCACCCCACCACCACCAAGTATCAGTACCCACCCCACACCAGGCATCAGGACCCACACCCACCACCAAGTGTCAGTACCCACCCCCCACCAGGTGTCAGTACCGTCTCCAGACATTGCCTAAAATCTCGGCAAGACACTCACCCTTTGAGTATTCACTGGTGAGTACTCAGGTGTAAGTGCTCTTGGTCCCTGTACCTCGTTCCCAAAACACCCGAGGGGCTCGGGAAGGCACCCCGCGGCCTGCTTGAGCGCTGCTGGAACGCTGAGCTGAGCGTCCTGGCCCGCACAGCAGGCTGTGCAGCTGTCGCAGCGTCTGAAACCTCAGCCAGCTAACGCACTGCTCTGCAATTTTGTAGGCAGCAGGCGTCTTGGAGGAATGGTGTACCTGTTAGCTACGGCAGCGGAACAAACCGCCCCGAAGCTTAGTGGCGGAGAACAGCACCAGCGGCTACTAGTCAAACTCTACAGGCTGGGCTGGGCTCGGGGGTCACCCTGGGGCTTTCTCAGGCACCTGTGGTCCCTGAGGAGTCAGCCCAGGCCAGGCTGGTCTAGGATGGCCCTGGCTGAGATAACTCTTTTTTGTTGTTGTTATTTATTTTAATTTTTATTTATTTATTTGAAAGGCAGAGAGATAGAGATCTCCCACCTGCTGTTCACTCCTCCAAATGCCTGCAGTGTCTGGGGCTGGGTCAAGCCAAAGCCTGGAGCTAGGAACTCAGTGCGAGGCTCCCACGTGCATAGCAGGGACTCAAGTACTTGAGTCATCACCCGCTGCCTCCCAGGGCGCCCATTAGCAGAAAGCTGGAATTGGACACAGAGCCGGGATGAGAACCCAGGCACTGTGATATAGGATACAGGCTCTTAACCCGAGCAGCATCTTAACTGCTGTGCCAAACACCCTCCCCAGGGCTCAGACAACCACTTCACATGGTCTCCTCTGCTGGCCAGTAGCCTGGGCTTGCTCACGTGTGGCTGCAGGGCCCTGGGGGAGTGAACAGAAGTGTGCGAGATCTCTTGAGACCTGGTCCAGAACTGCCACATTCTTTAGGCCCAAAACCAGTCCAGACTCGAGGGGTAACAGAACAGGGTGGCGGGGTAGGGGCCCCCTTCTTGATGGGGGAATCAAAGTCAAGTTTCACAAGCAATGATGACAAGGAAGGAAAGACAAGAACCACGCCCATCAGTTCCAGGTCCACAGCCCAACATGGCCAAGCAATGCCCGGCTTTGTCTTGCAGGAAACCGGATGCACCGAGCACATATGCATGGGGTCCATCATGTTCCCCTCCCAGCACACACGGAGGCCGGAAGACATCCGCACAAAAGAGCAGCTCTTCCCTCTTGCCAAAGAATTCATCGATCAGTACTACTCCTCCATTAAAAGGCAAGTAGGCGCCGCCTCTCGGAGGCCCGGGGCAAGCTCCCCAGGCTGAGAACAAAGACCCCGGCTCCAGCCTTAGCCACAGGTGCACGAGAGCCTGAGCACGCCCAGGGATGGAAACCTGGCAGCCCAGCAGCCCATGCTGGCTGCCAGAAGCGTTTCGGTTGAGTTTACAAAGGACGGCCTAAAATCTGGTATCCTTCTAGCAAGTTCATAGGTACAAAAACTCTCCCACCTTTTCACAAAAAGGCACGCATGAGAATGTTCACAGGGACATTGTTTATGGTAGGAAAAGGAAAAGAAGCAGTAGGAAACTGGCCCAACTCTGTCAGCAACAGAGTGGGGGAAAAAAAAAGTTGTCTGGTCCAGGCCTGGAATAGTATACAGCTGGAGGCAATGAAGGGGTTAGCATCGTGCATGTTCATGTTCATGTTCACAGGGACGACTTTGAACAAAAGAGACCGAGGACCAGTTGGGGAAGGAGAGATGGGACACAGCACCATTTATGTAACCTTTGAAAGCAGGCTGACTAATATTGTGTGCGGTTTACACAGGTGGCCAAAGCATAAACAAATGTCTGACGACGGTAAATGCCAGTCTCACGACAGCAGCCACTTCTGGGGAGAGTGTGGGCTGGGCTGGGAATATTGTCCCCCAGGAGCTGTCAAATTATCTCTTAGGCCGGGGAGTGGGGGTGGTCATTCCTTGTCCAAGAAGTCTTCCAAAAGTTCATAGACAAGGTGGGGGCTTCAAAATGTTTGTGGCAAAATAAACTTAGCTTTGAAGTCCATTTCCCACAAGTTTTTGGAAGTACCCTTGTGTTACTCTCTCTTGTAAACCTGAAATCTTCCATAGTCATTTACCATTCCGTGATTAAATTCGCTGCCAACATTTAGAAGTTAGAAGCGATCCTGTGAAAAGTCAGATCTCCAGTTGCTCTTGCGAGCAGATCTGGGAGCCTCGGGGCCCCCTTCCTATCTGGCGACATCCAATCGGCTGTGCTTCTTGGACGAGGCCTGGGCTCGCTTCTGTGCCACAGTCCCCACCCAGCCAGCGTGGTCCACTGCATACTGCTAGAGGCATGGTGGACACGTGAATCTGCAGCCTCAGCTCAAACTCTCGTGTGCAGAAACCAGCTCGGGACTCTGTGTGGCCCCTGGCCTCCCGCAGTAGCTGAGCCCTCCGCCAGCTTCTGACTCCCTGTCCATGACCCTCCCCTCCTCACTCAGATTTGGCTCCAAAGCCCACATGGAGAGACTGGAGGAGGTGAATAAGGAGATTGAAAGCACCAGCACCTACCAGCTCAAGGACACGGAGCTCATCTACGGGGCCAAGCATGCCTGGCGGAACGCCTCCCGCTGCGTCGGCAGGATCCAGTGGTCCAAGCTGCAGGTAGGTGGTGAGGCCCGGAGGCCTCCAAGGGCCCTTTGGTAAGGGGAGGGGATGGGACCGGGGATTGTGGGTGGAGCTTTAAGAGGGTCAGCTCCTAAGGCAGGCATTTGGCCTACTGGCAAAGGCAGCTGGGAAGCCCGTGTCCCACATCAGAGCGCCTGGGTTCCATACCCGGCTCCAGCTCCTGACCCCAGCTCCCTGCTGATGCAGCTCTTGCCAGGCAGTGCTGGCTCTGATCTCTGGGTTCCTGCCACTCACGTGGGAGGCCTGGACTGTGCTCCTGGCTGCTGGCTTTGGCCCCAGCCCGGGGCCATTGTGTGCATCTGGGGAGTGGGCCGGTAGCTGGGAGCACTGTCTCTCTCTTGCTCTCTGACCCTCGAGTAAATTTTTTTTAAAGATTTATTTATTTATTTGAAAGTCAGAGTTATACAGAGAGAGAGAGAGAGTGAGAGAGAGAGAGGTCTTCCATCCTCTGGTTCACTCCCCAATTGGCTGTAACAGCTGGAGCTGCGCCAATCTGAAGCCAGGAGCCAGGAGCTTCTTCCTGGTCTCCCACGCAGGTGCAGGGGCCCAAGCACTTGGGCCATCTTCCACTGCTTTCCCAGGCCATAGCAGAGAGCTGGACTGGAAGAGGAGCTGCTGGGACTAGAACCAGCACCCATATGGGATGCCAGTGCTTCAGGCCAGGGCGTTAACCTGCTGCGCCACAGTGCCAGCCCCCTCAAGTAAATTTTTTAAAAAAGAGAGAGACCAACTCCTAGCAAGATTCCCTGGTGCCCATCCCGGCATTTGTTGGATCCCAGATTCTCAGATCAAGGCCACAATGGGTGATAGTCAGGCCTTAGTTAGCCAGCACAGCGGATTTTTTACCTTTAATGACTTGTCAGTTTCCTGGTAGGGTTTACGGTCCCCAGTGTACCATACACCTCACCACTCCCATTTGTCTTACACCCACTCTTGTCGCTGCTGTCTGCCTCCTCCCTGAAGGTACCCGTTTCAGTGTCGCCTCGTGTGATTTTATTCTAGGGAGTCACTGAGAGCTGGAAGTAGATTAGTTATCAAGATCACAGGGCGTTGGTTTGATCTCGTAAGAGGAAAAGGAACCAGCTCATTCAGACTCCCTCTGTTACTCACCATCCCTCTCCCACGGTTAGGGGTGTTTGCCTGCTCTGAGTAACCTCGGTTATTAACATAGAAAACCCAGCCCGGGACCAAGTCCTGCCATGCTCGTCGCTCCCCTGGGGCAGCATCTAGGACAGCCCCCGCCTTCCTCCTAACGCGGGAAGACCGTGGGTGCCCGGAGCCTCGGGGGTGGGACCGCGGGGCAGCCAGACTCACTGTGGGCCTCCTGCAGGTGTTTGATGCCCGAGACTGCACCACGGCTCACGGCATGTTCAACTACATCTGCAACCACATCAAGTACGCCACCAACAAAGGGAACCTCAGGTGAGCGCCCCCTGCTGGACGCCGGGGTGGGGGTGGCCGGGGAGCCTCAGGTCCCCGCTGCAGGGATCCTGGACCCTGGTTCACCGGGCAGGGCTTGTGGGAGCGGGGCCATGCTGGGAGAGCTGTCCTGTGCATCGCCTCTGGGACAAGCAGATGCTAGTACAGTTTGTAAAATGATGGCAGCAAACACCGTGCTCGACATCACCCAGGGAAAAGGCAGGCAGGAGTGTTTCAGGTTCCCAGGAATAGGAACATCCCATTGCCAGCCACGACTTCCCCCACCTCCTGCTCTGTGGGCAGACCCACTTCTGATGCCACCCCTGGTAAAACAGGCACCGTCTCCTCCTGCTGCCTGCTCATCCTGCCTTCAGGCCCCACCGCTGCTGGCCACAACCGCGGATGCCTGTTGCACCAGGACAAGAACCAAACTGCAGGAGCAGGCGGGAATCATGGGGGTGGCGGCCTCCATCACAGCAAGCCTCAGCCAGGAGAGGCGCCCACAGGCAGCTGGCTGCACTTGCTGATCCCACTCCATCTGTTCCCAGCTGCTAAAGATCAGCCTGGCCCCACCCTAGAGATGCTGCCGGGCTGGCTAACCAGCCTGCGCGGCTACACGGAGCTTATCCAGAGTGGCTTATTTGCATTAAACACTGATTTTCTTGGATGTGTCTCTTCTTTGAAAGAGAAATTCATCGTGTCTGCCAAGGGTCTGAGCCCACTGGTAGGAAGAGAGCTTAGAATCTGAGCCTGCACCTGCGTGGCAAATTAGCGTGCAGGTCTCTCTCCCAGGCAGCCTCGCCCCTCAGAGGATATCCAAGAACCCTCCCTCTTCACATCTTGACCATTCATGGAGGAACCAGGCGTGGACCCTCCAAGAGTTTATGAGCCAGTCTGGTGGTTTTCAAATGGTGCTGTGATGGTGGTGAGGGAGGGTCGCCCCAGACCCAGCAATGCACCTCCACTTTTTAAAATTATTTGTGCAAGCAGAGCTTGTAAAGAAAATTTGCAGCTGGATTTTTAAAGTTTAAGTTCCCTGTCTGAAAACAATGAGAAAGTCATCCAAGAATAGAGACCATGTATCGGAATAATTGATACAGAAGAGGGGGTGTTAGTCCATTTTGTTGTTCTTGATACTATGATGAAATACCCGAGGCAGGCTCTTTTATCAAGAACAGAGGTTGGTTTTGGCTTGGAGGTCTGGAGGTGAAGCTGGCAGAGTCGCCAGGTGACGTGGAGCACCGCACGGCAGGACACAGAGCGTGGGTGTCTGTCGGGATCTGTGTGTCTCTCCTGCTTGTAAAGTCACCAGGATTTAATCACGGGAACCCTACCCTAATGCCATAATCGGGTTCCGTTTCCTCTCCCTTAATGCTATTAGCATACGGCTTGGGGCACGAGCATCCTGGAGGAGTTTGGGGGGGGGGGGACAAGCCGTTTTCACACCATAACGGAGAGGAAAAGGTCGAAGAAGAGGGGCAGAGGAGGAGGTAAAGGGCCGGGCATCCCACCGGCCCTGCTGCGAGATTCTGCTGAGGCCCTCGCGCTCAGAGAGAGAGAAAGCACCTCCTTCCTACACTTGCTGTGCGACTCGGCCTTTCTCAGCATGCTGTAGCTACGCGTACCACACGAACGTGCCTTAGCTGGCGCTCCTGCAGAGACACGGCAACAGGTGGCCCACTCCGTGTGTATCTCCTGGATGGCACTGAGACATCTGGGGGCTGGGATTCATAAGACACGTGACTCTCAACTTACCCCTAGGTGTGACCCTAGGTGTGACCCCCCCCCCCAGACACACACACCCACAGCTTGAAATGCTCTTGTATTCTCTTGCATAAAAATGTTCTCAGAAGGAAGGCCCAGTGACCTTGGCAAGACCGGGGGTGTTACATGTAAGCAGGGCCTTTGACTTTGGCCTTGAAGTTGGGCTTCTGACAGCAGAGAGAGGGAGCCGGGCAGTGGGACCAGCAGGGGCAACGTTCTAGGGGAAAGCTCTCTTGGGAGCAGATCTGGGACCAACGGTTAGCCCTGACACGTGACCCGCTGAGTTGACCCAAGAAGCAACCAGGACAGTGGAATTCAGTGCCCTGATGGGACAGGTGCGTGCAGGCAGCCAGAACTCCTGGCACGCTGTAACGCTGAACCATGTGTGAGCAAATGATTCAACTTGGATTTCTGCTGATGCCACGGAGAAAGGCTCGACTTGGTGCTTGGGTGTCACCTGCACTTCTTTCATGCTTGCTCATCTGCCTTCTAACAAGGGAGCCTTGAGATCTGCAGCTTCTACAGTGCAGCAACAGAATTCAGGCTCCATGGTTGCCTGGGTAGGCAGGCGAGGGCCATGGCTGGTGACCTGCATAAATAAACGAGAGTATGCGGGCAGGTTGATTTCTTCCTCATCCTGAGGCTGTATGTGATTTACAGGGGTGTAGGGTGGACAGACTCGGAGAGAAGGATGATGATGGTGGTGGAAGAAAGGCTGGAACTAGAAATCGACCATGCATCCTTAAAGGGGCCAGGGTCCGATTGTCCCTAGAGATGAGCTGCTGCGAAAGAACTTTCTGGAAGCCTGGCTCAAGTCAATGTTGTTTTAAAATCTCCAGCTGCAGAAGCATTTTTGCTTACAGCAAGCTGGCACGGGGCCTCTGCAGACAGTGGAAGAAGAAGCCATGGTCCTTCCCTCCAACAGGTGTCCCAGTGGCCCAGGGGAGCCTGCGCAGGAGTAAGCCACCCCCAGCCTCCAGCAGGTGTTGGCCTGGGCGTCACCGTGTCCAGCACGTCACAGTGTGCAGGGTCGGCCCTGACGCCGGGTGTCCTCCCCTGTCTCCCACAGGTCGGCCATCACCATATTTCCCCAGAGGACTGATGGCAAGCATGACTTCCGTGTCTGGAACTCTCAGCTCATCCGCTACGCCGGCTACAAGCAGCCCGATGGCTCCACCCTGGGGGACCCAGCCAACGTACAGTTCACAGAGGTACGAGCGTGCATGCCCCCGCCTGGGTGCTCAGGGCCCCAAGAAGCCTTTTGGAATCTCAGTTGATTGGTTTTTATTTATTTGAAAGGCAGAGGGACAGAGACAGACAGAGACCTCTCACCTGCTGGTTGACTCCCCAAATGCCCACGCTAGCTGGAGTGATGCAAGGCTGGGAACTCCCGGGTCTCCCCCATGGGTGGCAGGGACTCAAACATTTGAGCCATCACCTGCCACCTCCCATGGTGTGCATTAGCAGGAAGCTAGAATTGGAAGCAACGCCAGGACTTGAACCCAGGCACTCCGATATAGGATGTGGGTATCCCAAGTAGCGTCACAACCATTGCACCAAACGCCTGCCCTCCCCAGTGGTCTCTATGCAAGCACGCTTCCTGTTTAGTGTTTCCATCCAAGCGAGAGCAGCTGGTGGCATTCTATTTGTCCTCCTCCAGACCCCCGTCCCATTTGGTTGTCCCCTCCCTTGTCTTTCTGGAATCTTTACAGCTGGGCATTTGGTCATTTTCCTCTCGTGACCTCACACAACCATTTTGTTGGGAACTATCGTCCTATTTCACAGACAGATAGACTGAGTCTCATTGAGGCCAAGTGAGTAAAGGAAAAGCTAGAACTGCAGCTTAATCTTTTGCCTTCCACCAAAAGGAAAGGAGCTGATATGTGGGAGCCAGGTCTGGCATTCTGGCATCCTGTCTGAGTTGAGCACTATATCAGGCCCGTATCATTCATTCATTCCCTTATTTCTACAATGATTCAGCCACCCAACCATTCTTTGAGTCTGCATGGCACCAGCACCACCACCATTGCTGGTGGCCCAAGTCAATTCAAAAAGCCCCCAGGAAAGTGAGCACCCCCACCCCCATCCAGCTTCCTCCCAGGTGGTCGTGTGGACAGGCAGTACAGGTAAGACACGGTAGCCTGTCTGGATTGTCACTACCTCTTGTTTGTCACCCAGCCCAGCCCCAGGGGATTGTGTCTTTGTTCTTTCCTCGAACCCCACCTCCAAGACGGAGCTGGCAGGGCTAAGAGTTGCCCCACCCCCTCGTGGCTGCTGGCTTCATTTGCCTATGGCTTCTCTTATTAAAATAGCATTGTCATGAGGAGGGGGGCTGTAACCAGGGCGACCAGGAGTCAGCACCTGTGCAGTTCCAGCCTCAGCCAGATTCTCTGCTCCACTTGGCTGAGCACTAACTCTGTACTTGGCCGACCTTGTCTCGTGGATACCAAGTCATGAACGCCGCAGCCTCTCTGCCCGTTCTGTCTGCAGACAGGATGCGTTCCCTCAGCACAGCCTCAAGAACCACCCCCAAACCTGACCGCAGAATTACGCCTTCAGATACCCTCTCACCCAGCACAACCCAAGGGGCAGCCACTGGCGGCTCACGGCTTTGAGCAACTTCCGCTGTGGCTTGTCCAAACAGAGATGAGTCAGAAATGAAATGTACACACCAGATCACTTACAGATTGATTTATCTGTTTGAAAGGCAAAGTTACAGACTGGGAGAGACAGAGACAGAGAGAGATCTTCCATCTGCTGGTTCACTCCCCAAACGGCTGCAAATGTGCCCATCCAGCCAGGAGCTTCTTCTGGGTCTCCCACGTGGGTGCAGGGGCCCAAGCACTTGGGCCATCTTCCCCTGCTTTCCCAGGCACGCATTTGCAGGGAGCTGGACAGGAAGTGGAGCAGCTGGGACTCGAGTGTTCACATGGGATGCCAGCATTGCAGGCAGTGCCTTTACCCTCTATACCACAATGCCAGCCCCCACTCATGGGAAAACTCTCATTGATAACTGTGATATTGATTACCTGTTGAAATGATGATGTGTATGCATCCCCTAATGACCGGAACATGTTCTGAGAAATGTGTCATTAGGTGATAATGTCATCATGCAAGCGTCGTACGGTGCATTTACCCAGGCTAAGATGGCTGTGCTGTCAACAGATGACATGATTTTATGGGACTGCCATTGTATATGCAGTCTACCATTGAACAAAATGTTGTTAAGTGGTACATGACCATTTACCATACTTATTAATAAATTAATGGATTTATTGGATTAGTAAAGCAGTATAGATTTAATCTTAACCTTAAATATATTCATATTAATAATTTATCAATCTATCAAAATTAATTGATATCAATATTTAGTGTATCAAATTATCTTTTTGATATGTTTATTGGATAATAAGTATTTGCATATTTAATTTTATGTCCTATATTTCATCAGAATATATTGATAGCAGTACTTTAACACATTACTCATGATTTAGCATCAATATAAAGCATATTGTTGAGTTGTAAATAATCATTTAAGGTGAGTCCGTTATTAAAATTGGCTTCACCTGCTGGTTTTCTGTGACCGTCGCCACTAGAAAGCTGTCATGGCTTAAGCAGCTTGCGTTTCACCCTGTTGAGCAGCTGCTCTCGCGAATGCGTTTCACGCAGCGAAATGCCGTGGACACGCTTGGTACCCTGCGACCTGCACCGCGCTGTGGGAGTGCGCAGACCGCACATGCGCAGAAGCCAGATTCCGCCGGGGCCACAGCGTGGGAGCTCCCGGGCCCTGAGAAAGCAGGAGCGCTCGCTTGCCCTGGAGCCCACCGGGGTTCGCGCTGTTACCCGGCGAGGTCCAGGAGTGACCGCAGGGGGCTTGCGTTTGGCTGTCGTGCCCCCGCCGTGCCCACGTGGCCGTGCACTCGGAGGGCCTGGGCACGACGGTGCGACCTTGGCTGTGTTGCAGATCTGCATACAGCAGGGCTGGAAGCCCCCGAGGAGCCGCTTCGATGTCCTGCCGCTGCTGCTCCAAGCCAACGGCAATGACCCTGAGCTCTTCCAGATCCCGCCGGAACTGGTGCTGGAAGTGCCCATCAGGCACCCCAAGTAAGACAGGGGCCGACGGGCGTGAGTGGGGTGGGGGTGCCAGTGCCCCTGCCTGTCCATCCCCACACCTCCCAGCTCTCTGTCCAGCCCAGACAGAGCTGAAGGGGGCTCCGGCTCCTGTCCTCAGTGGCTCGGGCCCCAGTGGTCTCTCATGAGAATCACTGAGACCCCCCTGGGCAGACTGGGGTCCCCATGTGCTGAGTCAGACCCTCCCTCTCGCCACTGCCGAGCAGCCACTAAGAACCTGCCCTGATCCAGCCCTCGGGGCTACAAACATGAAGCATCTATGGTCCACTGTAGACATCGATTTTTTAAAAAAGATTTATTTATTTGTTTGAAAGGCAGAGTTACAGAGAGGCAGAGAAAGAGAGAGGTCTTCCATCCTTTGGTTCACTCTCCAGGTGGCCTCAACAGCCAGAGCTGAGCTGATCCGAAGCCAGGAGCCAGGAGCTTCTTCCTGGTCTCCTACATGGGTGCAGGGGCCCAAGGACTTGGGCCATCTTCTACTGCTTTTCCAGGCCATAGCAGAGAGCTGGATCAGAAGTAGAGCAGCCTGGGTGGGCACTTCAGGCTGCGGCTTCAACCCCTTCACCATCACTCAGACCCATTGATGTTCATTTAAAACTCCTCGGGGCAGGGTGGGGTCAAGTTCTAAAGGAATCTGTAGCTGGGAAGGCACTGTGCAGGCTACAACCAGCAATGCAGGGAAATGCAGAGGGAGGCCCTTGACTCAGGGACTTAAAAAGCTCAGTCATAATGAGATCTGCAGACAGGGCCCAGGAATCAGCTTCTGACATAGTCCCGTCAGTCCCCAGGTCAGGGTCCTCTGACGGCAGAGGTCCCGCCCCTGTGTCTGCCAAGGAGACACCTGCCCCATGGTGCACTGGGCTATGTTGCACTCCACAGGTTTGAGTGGTTCAAGGACCTGGGACTGAAGTGGTACGGCCTCCCAGCTGTGTCCAACATGCTCCTGGAGATTGGCGGCCTGGAGTTCAGCGCCTGTCCCTTCAGCGGCTGGTACATGGGCACGGAGATCGGTGTCCGCGACTACTGCGACAACTCCCGCTACAACATCCTGGAGGTAAGGCCCCTCCCCGGTCCCCACAGGGGAAGCACACAGCAGAGGGCACGGCTCAGTAGTCGCGAGCTTCAGGGCTCAGGGACTGGAAGGGCTTCGAACAGAACCACAGTCCTGGGGAAGCTTCTGGAAGCTCCTTAGACACCCATGTCTGTAGCAAGACACACAGCACACACCTGTGCTCACCCTGGTCATTGCACCTTGCATGCAAACTCAGACATTCCCAGTGTCCACAAATGCTCAGGTCCCTTAGGGCATGGAATTGGCATTGAACCTGCACACATCCTCCCATGCCTGGAGTCTCTAGTTTATGAAAACAACAAAACCAACAATAATAACAGGGGTGTTATTATATTATATATATATATATTTCCAGTTTTTTGCAGCACAATAAGCTTGTGTTTTAATTCTGTTTTCCCACAAACTTTCTGAAGTCCCCTCATAACTCAGAATCATCTCACGGTGACTTACAACGCCTAACCCAGTGCCAGTGCTGTGTAAATAGTTGTTACGCTGTGTTGGTTGGAGAATAAGGACAGGATAAGTCATCAGAATGTGTTCAGCAGGGATGCAGTACTTTTGTGAATATTTTTGTTCTGTGGTTGGTTGAATCTACAGGTAGGGAAGTCATAGTTGTAGAAGTGGATGTAGATGGTATCATGCGAGTGTGCATTTTTTTTAAAGACTTATTTATTTACTTGACAGGCAGAGTGACACAGAGAGAGAAATCTTCCATGCGCTGGTTTACTGTACTACAACAGCTGGGGCTGGGCCAGGCCAAAGCCAGGAGCCTGGAACTCCATCCAGGTCTCCCTCCCAGGGGGCAGGGACTCAGTACATCTGCTGCCTTCCCCCATGCATCAGGATCAGAGTGGAGCAGCCAGGACTGCAGCTAGCACTCTGCCATGGGTCGCCAACATCACAGGCGGCAGCTTAGCCCACTGCACCGCAGCTCCAGCCCCCGCAGTGTGCATTTTCTGTGGGTGGTGGCGGATCATCTTCTTTCATGATAATGTCTCTGAGATTCTTTCACGTCACTGCATGTAGCAGTAGTTGGGGTACAGAGGGCCACTGGGTTCTCACGTAACCCTTACCGTAACCCCGAGGAACCATAACCGCCCCTTTACAGATGAAGAAACTGAAGTCTTTTGGGGAGAGAAAGTGGCAAATTCAAGGTCACACAGGAGAGCCCTTTTGGCTTTTCTCCTTTGGTGGCCGGTGGGGCCGGGGGAGGGTCTGATCCCCTCCAGGGCGGAGTCACCCTTACCTACTAAACAGCCCCAGATGGAACGTCCATCAGCACTGCTCTGCTCGCCTAGGCACCCCGCAGCCTGCTGCTGTCGGCCTTGCATCTAAGGGCCTGGACAGAGAAGGGGCTGGCATTGCGGTGTAGCAGGTTAAGCCACCGCCTGCCACGCCAGTTTGGGTCCCAGCTACTCAGCTCTCAATCCAGCTCCCTGCTAATGCGCCTGGAAAAGCAGCGGAAGGTGGCCCAAGTGCTCGGGCCCCCGCCACACACATGGAAGACCCAGATGGAGCTCCTGGCTCCTGGCTTCAACCTGGCCCAGCTCTGGCTGTTGTAGCCATTTGGAGCATGAACCAACAGATGGAAGATCTCTTTCTTTCTGTGTCTCTCCCTCTCGCTCCATAGCTCTGCCTTTCAAATAAATAAATTTAAAAAAAAAAAAAAAAAGCAGAAGTTAAGTGCTGGGCCTGCTTCACATGGTAAATAAGGCGGAATCTAGATCAGAACTCGCGGCCAAGTGCCAGGACTACTGGTGTCTCCCCCAGAAAGCAGATGACGACATCCTCAGTGTTGCTGTGCCTTGGAGTTACCCAGGGATGTTTGGGGTACCCAGGTCCTACTCTCCCAGATTCTTTTTTTTTAAAGATTTATATATTTTTTTTGAAAGGCAGAGTTATAGAGAGGCAAAGGGAAAGAGAGAGAGAAAGAGAGAGCGAGAGAGAGAGAGCGAGAGAGCTTCCATCCTCTGGTTCACTACCCAAATGGCTGCCATGGCCAGAGCTGGGCTGATCCAGAGCCAGGAGCCAGGAGCCTCTTCCAGGTCTCCCACGTGGGTGCAGGGGCCCAAGGACTTGGGCCATCTGCTATTGTTCTCCTAGGCCAGAGCAGAGAGACTGACTGGAAGTGGAACAGCCAGCTCTTAAACTGGTGCCTATATGGGCTCCACCCACTACACCAGAACACCAGCCCCTCCCCCAGATTCTGACATCACTGACCTGGGGTAGGGCCTGCACATCAGCATTCTTCAAGAAGTCCTGGAAGATTCCACCGGGTGGCCAGCAATCCGGGCTCTGGCAGGAAGAGGAGAAGAGATTTCCACCTATTTGCATAGCTGTGGCCGGAGCTGCTTTGGGATTTGTAAAATCACATGTTTTTTTTTTTTTTTTTTTTTTCCCTTGCAATTAATTTCTATTCTTTTAACTGAACTCGTGCAGCTAAATGACAATAACAGCATCAGGAGCTGTACACAGTTTCCTCTTTGCTAAGCGAACTCAAGTTTCCTGTGGATTTCTGTAAAGCAGTGGCTGATTGCTCAGCTTCTGCCTACGTGTCACAAATAAAGACCGCACGCAGAAGCCGGTCCGGCAGCCTTGGAGAGCGAATTAAGAAATCCGCTTTCTGATCGCAACTCAGAGTTCGGTGGCACAGAGCAGTCAGCGGGTGACTTCACAGAGACTCCCTCTCCCACCCCAGCCGTGCTCTCTCAGCCGCCTGTGTGTATAAAGGTTGACAGCTGGGACAAGGACGCCACTTACCCAAGCTACGTTCCGGGCCCGTAATGAGACCCGGGCTGCCATCAGTGACTAGAATTGACGGAGAAAGTAAAAAAGCAAGGCTTTAATTAAGGAATTTGCTACAGGGTCCTCCCCCGTCCTGACATCGGCGCCTGCATCTGTGTTCGCTGGATCATCAGTGCCGTGCGATGTTTTGGCCAAGTGTTTGGCCAAAGGTGTCAGCTTGTAGGGGAGCGATTCCCGAGCCCTGGCTGCCAGGCAGCTCTCTGGGCTCCAGCTGCAAAGCCCACTGGCTCCGTGGGCCTCGGGCAAGTCCAGGCACCTCTCTCTGGACTTCAGTCTGCCCATCTGTCAGATGGAGTCCTCTGGGTCCCCACCCCCCAAGCTCGGGGCACCCCTAGTCTGCATTCCAAGTAGGACCCACTCCAGGGGTGGCGTGGGATGGGTGGGGAGCTTTTGACAGCAGATGATGTCACACCTAGACAACCTCGGTAACAAAAATGCTCCAGGGATGCCTGGAGTAAAATCCCCCAGCCTCCTCCACCCTCCCGTGTTGCCCACCTCCCCCGCCAGCTCCCCTGAATCGCCCGCTCTGAGCACAGGGCACTTCTTGTTGTCTCTTGGCTGGCACAAGCCTGGTTCCAGCACAGGGCCTTTGCACTGGCTCTTCTCTCTGCCCACAGCCGCCGCCGCCCCCACTGCCTCTCATCACTTAGGCCCCGCCCTGTGCGCCCTCTCTGCAGCCGGCCACTCTGGCTGGAGTCATCCACTCCCTCCAGTTCCCCGGTCTTCTGTCCCCAGGGATTGCCACTTATCCCAGTGTTAACTCTCTCCCTTCCTTCTGAATGGAGGCTGAATAATTAAAAAGCCAGCCAAGTCTCTCTAGTTTCCTGCTGCCTGTGGGGTCTCAATTTACAAAAACAATAGTAATTCTTTTGCAGGGAGGCCGTTTGGTTGGGATGTCACTTCGGGTACCCACACTGCGTATCAGCGTGCCTGGGTTCCAGCCCCAGCCTCACGTCCTGCTGTGTCTGCCTGCCAATGCAGACGCTGGGAGGTAGCAGTGAGGGCTCAAGTTCAGGAGTTCTTGCTCCACCCACTCGGGAGACTCAGATTACATTCCGGGCTCCCGGCTTCAGCCTGGCCCAGCAGTGGCTGTTATGGGCATTTGGGAAATATACCAGCAGATGGGAAAAGTCTCTCTCTCTCTCTCTCCCTCCCTCCCACTTTCCCTCCCTCCCTTCCTTCCTTCCTTTCAAGCCAATTTTTAAAAGTATTTTGAGGAAGTCAATCCACCCGTGACCTGAGTTGATTAGTTAGGAACCTGGTGAATGACGCCCACCGTGCCCCGCTTTGCCCCGCAATCCAGAGGCCCCCCAGCACACTGTGTTTCCCTCTCCTTTCAGGAAGTGGCCAAGAAGATGAACTTGGACATGAGGAAGACGTCCTCCCTGTGGAAGGACCAAGCGCTGGTGGAGATCAACATCGCCGTTCTCTACAGCTTCCAGGTCGGGGTTCCCAGGAACCGCCTCTGGGGGCGTCTGCCCACAGCAGGGGCTGCTCCCCATACTGAGTCCTGTGTGGGAGGGACTGCCTGATGGGGGCAGGAATAGGTGGTGGGGGTGGGGCTTGTTGCTTGAGGGCCTCCAGAATTGAGATGACAGGCACCCCTGTGTTCTAGGCACCCAGTCACATACCAGTGACAAAATCGCTGTCACTGTCAGAAACATGCAGGGCCCCGATGGCAGCTGCTTGGTGGTTGAAGGCTGGAAATGTTATCTTCTAAGCCTTGCCTTCAGAGGGCGAAAGGGGGCGCTGTTAAACACCATGCCGGGTGTGGCTGGTTAGAACCACTGTTTGGGGAACCCATATCCCAGATCAGAGCTCCTGGGTCCCCGACCTGGCTCTGCTCCCAATCCCAGCTTCCTGTGAATGCACACCCTGGGAGGCAGCAGGTGACGACTCCAGCACTGGGGTCCCTGCCACCCACGTGGGAAACCCTGAGGAAGTTCCTGGCTCCTGGCTCCAGCCGTTGCAGCCATTTGGAGGTCCAGCAGTGAATGGATGATCTGTTTCCTTTTCTCTGCCTCTCCCTCTTCCAAATAAAATGAAGATTTTACTATAGATGAAAGAAAGAACAATTATGCTGGCATAAATCAGGATTCTCCTGGACCTAGAGATGGAGGCCACTCTCTAGACTACAGCCCAGCTCTGTCCCCTGCGGGCCTCCTGCCTGGGCAGCTGGACACCACAGGTGCCCAGGAAAGGCACACGCGGGTTAAGTGAGACTGTGGATAGCCCGTGGGTCCCCATGCCCGGTGCAGGGAGCATGACTGCCCTGAGGACGTCACAGGGAAGAGCCGAGTGGGGGATGGGGTGCCTCCCTCTTCTCTCAGCTACCGGCACAGAGGCAATGGAGTTTCCAGGCTCATGGATGTGCTTGGGCGTGGCTTGAGGACAACGGTGAAGCCAGACAAGTGATTACAAAGGGAAAGTGCAGCGGGATCGGTGCTGTGACACAGAGGGCTGAGCGGCCCAAGGGCTTGGGTCCCTGCCACACAGGTGGGGGACCTGGATGGGGCTCCTGGCTCCTGGCTTCGGCCTGGCCTAGACCTGGCTGTTGCAGCCATTTGGAGAGTGAACCAGCAGAGGGAGGATCTGGGTGGGTCTCCTTCTCCCTCTCTCTCTGTTACTCTGCCTTTCAAATTAATTTTTTTAAAAAAAGTGCAAGAACAAGGCAAAGGTTTGTGGGTAGAGAGGGAAGACGTTGCTAAGACAATGTGCAGATCCACATCTGCCAACCACAGCACGCCCTGGACACGATTCGCTGTATTTACTGTATTTTTTTTTTTTCAAGATTTTCATAGACCTGGGAGACAGAGAGAGGGAGACAGAGTTCCCATCAGCTAGTTTATTCCCCAAATGCCTACACTGGCCCATTTTCAGCCAGGTCTGGAGCTAGAAGCCAGATCCACAATCCAGGTCTCTTAGCAGTGTCGGGGACCCAATGACTTGAGCCATCACGCCGGTCTCGCAGAGTCTGCAATTAGCAGGAAGCTGAGTCAGGTGCCAGAGCCGGGATTCAAACCCAGGCCCTCCCGTGCAGGATGCGGGTGTGTCAACCACAAGGCTAGATGCCTGCTCTGCTTGTTTTAGCTCACCTTGATCATCTAAAATTTGTGTTTTAAGAGGATTTTATATCAGCACCATAAGGGGAGAGCCAGTATTGACTGGCATAAAGAGAAGGTGATTATAATGTTAAATAAACAAAAAAGGAAAACAAAGCAGAGTTATTCCAAAGAGGAGGAAGGGGAAGGGGAGGGGATGGGGAGAGGGAGGAGAAGAATTGGCAGGAAAGGCGATAAAGCACCAAACAGAGATGCTGTCCCGGGAGAGAATCAAAGCTTCACTTCGCTTCCAAAGACCGTCTTGGGGCCCCTCCATGGGGAAGGCTGCTCTGTGGGCAGGGGCTCTTCCTCCCTGACCCCTCGTCCCTTCTCCTCCTCCAGAGCGACAAGGTGACCATCGTGGACCACCACTCTGCCACTGAGTCCTTCATTAAGCACATGGAGAATGAGTACCGCTGTCGGGGGGGCTGCCCCGCCGACTGGGTGTGGATCGTGCCCCCCATGTCGGGCAGTATCACTCCCGTCTTCCACCAGGAGATGCTCAACTACCGGCTCACCCCCTGCTTCGAATACCAGGTCCTGCCCCCTCCGGCCCCCTCTGCACGCTGTGCCTTCTGCTTCCGGTGTGGGTGTTACACTTTAGAGGGCGTTTCCATACGGGCCCGTGAGCCTCCCATGACAAGTGGCTGCCGTATTGGACAGCACAGGTGTAGCCGCAAGACCAGTGCCCATGAAATGAATAGTCGGGGGCCACGAGTAGGGAATAGGAGAGGCACTGGAGGCTGCGTGGGAGGGGGGCACAGAAGCAGGCGCAAGGCACCTGTGCTGTGGTTGCCCCTGGCCGAATCCGTCCCGTGGAGGCTGAGGTTTGGGCCGTCCTGAGCTGCAGCCGGAGGAGCCATTCCCTCCCTGCGCTGACCACATTCCTTCCCTGCGCTGACCACAGTGCTCTTTCTCTTCCCAGCCTGATCCTTGGAACACCCACGTCTGGAAAGGCACCAATGGGACCCCCACGAAGCGGCGTGCCATCGGCTTCAAGAAACTGGCAGAGTGAGTCCATGGCAAGGGGGATGGGTAGGTGGGGTGCCCACAAGCTCGAGAGCCCGGCAAAGGGACTGCTGGCTTCTCGGGTGAGCGATGGCTCCGTTTCCTCCAACGCCCTGTACCTTCATGGCCTCTGGGTCTGGGAGGTGAATGTTGCCACCGCGTCTTCTTCTCAGCCTCACTTCGGTGCCTAGTGCCAGAAATGCCACAGGTCCTGGAGGCAGCGTGAACTCACTCTGCTGACAATAAAAATGGCGGTGCTAATGCCCTGGCTTGTAGCATTGGCCAGTTTCCATGGTGTAAATATTCGTACCATGGTGGTTTCTGAGCTGCCAACAGGGAGTCTTGAACCCAGAGCCAGGGAAGCTATGATGTTGGCTCCAGTCCCGATTGCACACACCCCATTCTTCATTCATTCTGCTGACAAATGACTACCAAGTGCCTTCTGTCTGCCAGGCACTGCGCTGAGCTCTACAAATGTCATAGCAAGCCTGAGAAATAGGGCCCCTGCCCTCAGGAAGCTCGAAGCTATTGGTGTGCCAAAGAATTACACAAGGACAGTCAACATTACAGCCGTGGCAGGTGCATCAGGGGCTGGCTCATGGTGCCATGAGATAGATGTGGACTCGATGGAGGTCCTTCGGGGCAGTTGAAGAGACAGCTGAGCTGAAGAATGAGATGGATAAGTCATCAGTGAGCAAAGAGGAGAGGAAGTAGGGTTATGGCCCAAGGCTGCCCAGGAGAGATCGTCCTGAAGAATACTTGGCCAGCTGCTCAGCGGCATGGGCCCAGCTGAGGCTGTTTAATGGGGCTGTCAGCCTTCTGCCCAGAGAGAACCCCCTGTGCCCAGAGCAGAGACCTCTGCAGCTGGCTTTGTGGCACAGACCTCGGTATGGCCTGAGCACCTCTCTTCAGCACCCCCTTGAGTCTAGAACTCTCTCTGTTTGACATCTACAACAGAGGCCTTGAGACAAGACACTGGTGGGCCTGCCAGGGGCTCACACCTAGGTCCTGGCTCCATGAAAGGGGTCATGGGACCTCTCTCCCTCCCTCCAGGACTCGCATCCCCTCTGCCAGAATCTCCCCTCCCCCACCCCCCGCCAGCCAAGCCGACACACAGCAGCAGCCATGCCTTCTCCAGCAGGAAGAGTTGGCGTACTCTCTGGGAGGGAATCTTTGCCTCTGTTCAGTCCCTGGGAGAAGAAAGAAAAAGACATCGAAAGCATCCACTGCACTGAGTTCGGGTAGAGACAATGGGAGTTAATTATAGATGCCTTTTCATGCTCGGATCATTTCAAGGGAATCCTCCAGGCACCTTTGATTCCTTTGGGTTTCTCCCCCTTAGCTGAGTGTCTTCCTGCAGCGTGGGTGGCTTGTAAAATGGTGACTCTCCCGGCAGTCAACCCCAGGTCGGGCAGACGGAGTGATTTGTCTTCACTTAGATTCCTAGAGAGAGGAGGGGCGCTCGCTCACAAGCTGAACCCAGGATTCCCCAGCCTCTGTCCTCTGTCCAAGGCCACCTCCTTGTCCCCAGCCCATGAGAGGCAGAGGAAGGAGCCCTGCTGTGGGCTTCTCTGGTTAGCTGGACAGAGGCTTGGCTTGACATTCAGCCCCTGGCCCAGGGCTTCAGGGCGAGCATCTTGGAAACCCATTGCTTCTCTTGGTAGATATTTATTCAGTGCCAACAGGAGCCGGGCTCTGCACAAGACCCTGGATGTGCAGTGCCCAAAAGAGCAGGCCTGCCCTACCCTTGTGGGTCTCTAAACCTCCTCATATCCCTTCTAACTCAGTATCTGTTGACTTATTGGGAATTCGTACCTATCACACACACACACACACACACACACACACTAGAATGTAAGCTACCCGACAGCTGCTCAACCAAGAAAAGTCATCTGTGTTTCTCAGCTACTCTAACAGTGCTGGGAACAGAGTTAGACCTGGACAAGTACTGATGAGTGAGTGAACAAGGGAATGGGCGTGGGAGCAAATTTCAAGGCAATCGTTGGCATGCCAAGGGGCTTGAGACCAAGAGAAACCCATCAAAGTACAGACTGATGCAACTAACCAACACACTGTGTTAATTTTATGTATTTATCTAACGTTTGAGAGGCAGAGGGACAGAGAGATCAGGCCCATCCCCTGTTTACTCCCCCCAAAGGCATACAGTGGCCAGGGCTGGGTCAGGCGGAAGCCGGGAGCAGAGAACTCAATCCAGGTCTCCCACACATGTGACGGGGACCCAAGTACTTGAGCTGTCACTGCTCCTCTCAGGGTGTGCATTTGCAGGAAGCTGGAACTAGGAACACTACATAGGACTTGAACCCTGGCCCTCCAACATGAGACACAAGTGTCTTACTTAACCAGCATCTTTAGCACTAAGCTAAACACCTGCTCCTAACGAACCATTGTAACGCATGCCCCCCCCCACACAGCCCCCATGCTGTTTCGTGGGTTGTGGCTCTTGCCCAAAGATTCCAACCTGGCATCTTCTTGACCTTGTCCGATTCCCATCTTTTCCTCTCTTATCTTATCCCCCCAGAGCCGTGAAGTTCTCAGCCAAGCTGATGGGGCAGGCGATGGCCAAGAGGGTCAAAGCAACAATCCTCTATGCCACAGAGACGGGCAAATCGCAAGCCTATGCCAAAACCCTGTGTGAGATCTTCAAGCATGCCTTTGATGCCAAGGTGGGTAGAAAGGGGGCGGGGCATAAGAGAAGAGGAGAGAGGGAAGTCAACAGGGAAGAATTTGGCCTTGACATTGAATGACAGCACACCTAAAGATGCCCATTAGCACACATGCAATATTTGCCTAGCTCTCAGGGGACTGTGATGCCCCTGCCCGTGAACCCTGCATGCGTCCCCAAAATGAAATTCCAGTCTCTAGAGCAAAATACTGCAGCTTTGTGAGAAACCATTGTAAGGTCCATTTGGGAAGCTGCACGTTACGTGCATCTCAGTGGGTTTCCTAGCTGCTGCAGGACTTCTCGGAGCTTTTAGACACAAGCAAGGAATGTAATCTCCAAAGGCAAAAAGAACAGAGTGTGTTTCCCAGACATGAATGACCCTGGATCACTTACTTTCATGGAGCATTTCAGGAGACTGGGCTGCCCTAGACCCTTTCCGCTTAGAGAAATGTCGCTCAAGGGTGCTAAGACACAGGGCAACAATCTCTCCCTAAAGCAGGTGTCTCGGGTCCTCCATACTGCTGAGGGTGGGGATCCAGCTAGGTCTAGGCTGGTCATTCCTAGCCTAAATGAGCTCAGGAATGAGCCAAGATCAGGGGGTTCCAAAGAGTCCCGGGGACTCAGTCAAGATCTGCCAACAAACGGCCAAGCCCTGGACCACTGCCCCCGACAGTGTGTGCTCCTTCAGGCCACAGTGACCCTGGTAAGGCCTCCTGCTATCAAATACAAGTGTTCGCTTGAGCCCATTGGAACAGCAACAGCCGAGAACTTAGGGTGCTGCTCCCAAGGGAGATGCCTTGACATGACTCACCTGTCCCTTTCTCTCTCTTCTGCCCCACTCACTTTCTTCTACCTCCTGTCCCTCCTCCTCCTCATCTTCCTCTCTCTCCCCTCCTCCACATCTGTGCCCTCACCCACCCAGGTGATGTCCATGGAAGAATACGACATTGTGCACCTGGAACACGAAACTCTGGTCCTGGTGGTGACCAGCACCTTTGGCAATGGAGACCCCCCTGAGAACGGAGAGGTGAGAGGAGCTTCCACCCATCCTAGCATGTGGCTCCATCAGCAGGGAGAAAGAGGGGTGCAGCTGAGGCCCTTCCTCTGCACCTGCTGTTGGGTGACAAACCCCTCCCCGAGTCTCAAAGCCAGTGACTTCGGTTTGGGTCCAACTTAGGCACAGATCGGACATTCCCAAGTCCTCAGTCTGCTAGCATCTGCTGGTTAGTCCGACCCTGATGAGAATATTGTCACCTAAGTGTACTCCATGTTTGGAATAGGTCCCCCAACCAGGAGCTGCGTGTCCCCAGCTCCACGTGACAGAAGTCAAGACAGTATTTCTTTAATACATTTTTGTTTGTTTTGAGAAAGAAAGAAGCAGGGGGCCAGCGCTGAGGCATAGCGGGTAAAGCCTCCGCGTGCAGTGTCGGCATTCCCATTTGGGCACCAGTTCGTGTCCCAGCTGCTCCTCTTCTGATCCAGCTCTCTTCTATGACCTGGGAAAGCAGTGGGAGGTGGCCCAAGTCCTTGGGCCCCTGTACCCACGTGAGAGACCCAGAGGAAGCTCCTGGCTCCTGGCTTCAGATTGGCCCAGTTCTGGCTATTGCAGCCAATTGGGGAGTGAACCAGCGAATGGAAGACCTCTCCCTCTCTCTCTCTCTCTCTCCCCCCTCCCTCTCTCCCTCTCTCCCTCTCTCCCTCTCTCCCTCTCACCCTCTCTCCCTCTCTCTCTCCCCCTCTTCCTCTCTCCCTCTCCCCCTCTCTCCCTCTCTTCTCTCTGTGTAACTCCAACTTTCAAGTAAATAAATAAATCTTTAAAAAGAGAGAGAGAGAAGCAGAGAGACAGAGAACACCCATTCACTGGCTCACTCCCCAGACACCCACAACAGCTAGGGCTGGGCTGAGCTAAAGCCAGGAACTCGATCAAGAGTCTCCCACGTGGGCAGCAGAGACCCAGACACTTGAGTCATCGCTGGAGCAGGAAGATGGAGTCAGGAGCCAAGCCAGGACTCAAAGCCAAGCTTTCTGATCTGGGGTACAGGTTTCTCCACCAGCATCCTGACCACCATACCAAATGCCCACTGGGACGCTACTTTTGTGGAAGGAAGGCCGTCCAGGGCAGTTATACATTTGGGTGGAGGAGCCACACCTGCATTCCTTCAGTCAGCTGACCCTTCGCTGCACCTGCAGCCCGAGCTCTGTGGTCTAACCCAAGCCCCTGAGCGTCCCTGGCATCACCCCCCACTCCTGCCAGCCATCAGCTCCTTTTACCACCCACGACCCCAGCCCCTCAATGCCCGACCCTGTTCCACATTCACCAATGCAGGCTTCACATTGTGCCCATCTGTTTCGGCTTCCAGAAATTCGGCTGCGCCTTGATGGAAATGAGGCACCCCAACTCTCTGCAGGAGGAGCGGAAGTAAGTCGTGGCCCCTCCAGGGTCCCATGACACCCCTGGGGGCCGCCGAGAGTGGGCTCACTCGGAGGTCTCCTTGGAGTTCCAAGTGGTGGGTGGGGCCTCAAGTCCACGCGTGACTGATTTCAGCTAATGGGTGTCGGCGCCGCCAGGGCTGATGCCTTGGTTCACGTCACAGCCTTGCACCTAGACTCCTTTTTCTGTCAAGTTAGAGATTAGAATCCCTGCCTTCGCTTTCTGGTGGGTAACGGCCAAGCAAAAATCTGGAAGGAGAAGTCCTGGGAAACATTAAGAGCGCTGTGGCCGGCGCCGCAGCTCACTAGGCTAATCCTCCGCCTAGCAGCGCCGGCACACCGGGTTCTAGTCCCGGTTGGGGCGCCGGATTCTGTCCCGGTTGCCCCTCTTCCAGGCCAGCTCTCTGCTGTGGCCAGGGAGTGCAGTGGAGGATGGCCCAGGTGCTTGGGCCCTGCACCCCATGGGAGACCAGGAAAAGCACCTGGCTCCTGCCTTCGGATCAGCGCGGTGCGCCGGCTGCAGCGCGCCGGCCGCGGCGGCCATTGGAGGGTGAACCAACGGCAAAGGAAGACCTTTCTCTCTGTCTCTCTCTCTCACTGTCCACTCTGCCTGTAAAAAAAAAAAAAAAAAAAAAAAGAGCGCCATGTAAATATCGGTTCTCTTTCTCCCTCCCACCCCCACTCCAAAGTCCGTGCAAGCAGCTGTGTCCCTAGACGCTGCCTGTCTGAAGCTCCTGGGGACTTGCAGCTCCTGTGGAGGGGGCATTGGAAAGATGGGGCAGGTGTCTCGGAGGGCGGACCCTCGGTCAGAACATGTTCTGGGTGGAATTGTGTCAGGCACAGTGCTGGGTTCCTAAGGCTGAAAACGTCTATAATCAGGGTTAACCTTGAAACGCCCTTGCCCTCGCCATGAGGTCAGAACGACCGGTGCATGCTCACACAGCCTCCCTGCAGTGACGCCAGCGCTGTGTCCCCTGCAGCACAGGGCAGATCTGGTGCCTTATGGAGGGCTCCGAACACCGCAGCTGACTGAGCTGTGCAGAACTTCACTCCCGGCGTTCTCTGTACTGAGCGCGTGTTGCCAGACGCACACACATCTGCTGCCCAGGAGACGGAAAGTCCCGGAAGCCAACTCCAACACCTGAGTCCTCACTCTCCCCGCCCTGTCCTGGGTGGCCTCCCAGGAGGCCCCCGCCCCCCTCCTCCAGGGAGAGATAGGGTACCATCCACTCTCCCCTCTAGGTACCCGGAACCCTTGCGTTTCTTTCCCCGTAAAGGGCCTTCCCTCCCCCACGGTGACACTGAAGTCCACGGTCTGGCTGCAGCCCGTGACAGCCAGCGCAGGTAGAGTGTCCGAGTGGGCATGTGTGTATCAGTGTGGATGCACGCGCCTCCATGTGTGCACATGTATGAACGTGTGTGCACGCATGCCCAGTGCCTGAGCACCCTAGACCACACCCAGACCTCAAGGAGGACCAGCGTTCTAACCCAGGCAGCACCGCTAACCCGCTAAGCAGCCTTGATCAAATTGCTTGACCTCCGTGGGCCTCAGTCTTTCTCATCTGCCAAGTGGGGAGAACATTTCTGTGCCTTGCCCACCACTGGGGACTGGGCTGTTGCAAGGATCCAGAGATAAGAAGAAAGAGGAAGGCATTTGGAAAAACCCCCAGGCTCATACAAATGCACGTGGTTATTTTTACCCCACACCCATCAGCCGTCCCTCCCACACGAACGGCGCAGCCGCCCCCTGATACGTTGCGTCGCTTATTTGGAGAAGTGACTCAATGTGAGACTATTTTGGGGCAGCAAATACACTTCCATATATTTAGAACTATCCTGATGCCGGAGCAAAAACTTTGAAGAACGTCCAGCTTGGAAACCCTGCTGCCAACAGGCACAATGTTGTTTTTTCCTTTTTCCTTTTCCTTTTGCACTCAACTGTGTATGTATGGGGGGGGGGGGTTGTCTTGAGTTTTAATTTGGGAGCCTGCATTTTGGAGGTCTTTGCTTATCTGCTCTGTCTTAGGGTTTTTTTGGCTGCTGTTTTTGCTTTGTCTTATTCTTGACTTGTCTGATACAAAATTTACCAGTTTGAGAGGAAAACTGAGAGGCCTGGCTTCCTTCTTCTTGGTCTCAAGGCCAAGGTTTGAGTTCCAGGGACAGCTCTCTGGCCCTTCAGAGTAAGGTAATAAAAATGTAATCTCTTTGTGGCAGGGCTCAGCATTTTTCATGTTTACTCGATGTGTGAACTGCGACTAACCCCTGAAATACCTAAGGGACCGTGCTGTGGGAGGGGAGTGCTGAAGGGGCTAGCCCAACACTGCCTAGTGGAGCTTTCTACAGTGATGTAAGACGTTGCTTATCCATGCTGGCTCTACTTGGCTGCCGAGTACAGTGTGGCTGGTGCAAGTGAGGAACCAAGTTTTTCACTGTACTTAATCAAATGCACCTCTCGCCAAACAGCCACACGTAGCCAACAGCTACCACACTGCACAGCACGGATCTAGTCTTCACTACCTAAAGTTAGGTCTAGGAACAGGTGGCTTTGGCATCTCCCAGGAGCTTGTTAGAAATGAAGATTATCAGGCTTACCCCATGTTAACAAGATCCCGGGGTGATTCTGGGGCACATTATTATTTGGGAGACAGGAAGGACTGGTCAGTTGGTAGTTAGGGGTGGTCAGTTTGAATCCAGCCTTCTTACTGGTTTAACCATTTTAGCCATCTGTGTCTCAAACGTCCTAAGGCAAACGTGGCTAGACACCTTGTGCAGGCAGGGTCAAGTTCAGATGCACAGATCCCACTGTGATGGGTGTGGAACTGTAGGCACAGCCAGAGGAGTGTAATGGTTTGACTCTACACACCAGAGAAGGTCTCAGGACCACAGCGAGTGACTTGAAGATCCATCAGTGGTGTTGACCTCAAGGGAGGGCTCCAAGCCAGAGCTCACAGACTCCCCTTTGTCTTGGCAGGAGCTACAAGGTTCGCTTCAACAGCGTCTCCTCCTACTCGGACTCCCGCAAGTCATCAGGCGATGGGCCCGACGTCAGAGACCACTTTGAGAGCGCTGGACCCCTGGCCAATGTGAGGTGAGCAAGGGTCTTGGGGGCCCAAGAAGGCTAAGGCTCTTGGGGGGCTGGGCCTGGTTGCAAGATGGGGTCTTCGTCATCACGGTGGGGAGGGGATCTACCTTATGTGCCCATCCATCCCTGGTAAAACCGGCTGCATCCTGGCTGTCTCCAGGTGGCTGACCCCACACCCACTAAAGCACACTACCTCGTCTCCCCATTTTCCATACCCGAGTTCTCTTTCTGTACACACTCCCCCAGAACCCCACACCCACGGTTCACCCATCATTTGTGCCAAAGGATATTACTCTCTGGACGTTGCTCAATGAACAACCCTTCCTAAGAGATGCATTTTACAATTGATAGAAGCTTCTAGAAACAGTCTGCCATGGCCCAGTGGTTCTCAATCCTGAATGCACATCAAAAACACCTGGGGATGTTTACAACATACCAATGTGACAACCAAGACCACTTCCAGAAATTCTGAGGTGATTGATCCAGAACTGAGCCCACCCATTTCTTTCTTTTTCTTTTTCCCTGTAATTCTCTGCAATTGACTCTAACATGCAGTCAAATTTGAAAAATACTGGCCTAACCCCATATTTTCCACTGTATGGTTGCTTAGTATGTGATAATTTTAGGCGGCCCTTGAACAAGGATTTTGTACTTCAAAAGTTACATGGTCAGTTTGATTTGGGAAGAAATTAAGCGAGGCTGTCAGAGTAACATTGGCCATCATGAGACTGATGTAGGCAGAGCCTTCAGGCCTGGCCACGAATCCCTCAGCCCTTCCCTAACCTGCTCAGAGCGATGGGTAGCAGATGGTGATCACAGGGCTCCTTGATACTGAAGTACCAGGCCCATCCAAGCATTGCAATAGACATTATTTTTCAAAACATAACTGAGCAGAAAGTTCCCATAGCCCCCAGCCCCAATGCATGCAAAGCCCACTGTCAGTGTCACTGTGATCCCTTTGTCACAAATGTCAAGCCTGCTTTGACCTTGACACCTCATGGCCTCCAAAGCCTGGTGTTGGCATCAGGTTCACACTTCACGTTGGATGTGCTATGGGTTTTGCATTCTGTACCTCAACACGGAAGCATAAGTCCTGGGCTCAGTCAGATTTCAGTTTCCCCTTATGAAGTCGATCACAGCAGAGGTTGGCAGCATATTGCCTGCTGGCCACTGCATATGTTGTACAACCCATGAGTGATTTTTTTTTTAACAGATGAACTTTTGTAATTAATTGGATGGTAGAAAACATCCCAATTGCGCCCCAATTAGCTGTAAGGCAAAATTGTAGTCAATTCTTATTATGACTTCAATTTTGTCAATAAAAATGTGCAAGAATTTGTTTTCTCTCATGTTATTTAAGTACCCACATAATAATTTTGATTCTGCTTCGTGGCCTACTAGCCTAAAAATATTTATTATCTAGTCCTACTGTAAGAAGTTAAAACTAACTAAAAACTTCTTTAAAGGGTTATTTATTCACTTGAGAAGTAGAATTATAGAGACAAGGAGAGACAGAGAGAAAGGTCTTCCACACTCTGGTTCACTCCTCAAATGGCTGCAATGGCCGGAGCTGAGCTGATCTGAAGCCAGGAGCCAGGAGCTTCTTCCGGGTCTCCCACGTGGATGCAGGGGCCCAAGCACTTGGTCCATCTTCTACTGCCTTCCCAGGCCATAGCAGGGAGCTGGATTGGAAAAGGAGCAGCCAGGACTTGAACCAACACTCACATGGGATGTTGGCACTACAAGCAGAGGCTTAACCTACTATGCCACAGTGCCAGCCCCCTAAAACTTTTTTAAAATTCAAAAAAAAAAAACAAAAACCCACAAGTATGGTGACATGTGTGATGAATAGGCTCCTTTGGATGGCATCTTTGATTTTAGCCAATCTCAAACAGGTTTCTGCCCAATAAATCAATTCTCAGCATTTAAAAAAAAAAAAAACTTGCCAGCTCCCAAGTGTAGAGGCTTAAAATGGGAATTTTGAAATCATAAAATGAAGATTGTCGTGGAACTGGGATGCTGTCAGAAGATTCTACAAACCTGGTGGCTTAGAAAGTGCAGAAACATAGCGCTCACACGTCTGCAGGCTGAGAAGCCCCAGTTCAAGGCAGAGGTGGTGTCTGGGAGGACTCTGCCCTGTGCACAGCTGTCGTCTCCTCACTGCATCCTCGCAGGGCCACAGGGAAGACCCCTGGTCTCTCCAGCCCTTGGGCTGGGCACCAAGCCCGTTCGTGCCAGAGGCCCCACCCACTGGTGCCCTCTCAGCGGGAGTAGCTTTGGATCAACACAGACATCTAAACCTTGGCATTGGGCTTGGGGAGCTAACGAGGAGCGATGAGAGGCACGTCCACTCTATAAATGAGGAATGAGCGACGTCTGGCCATCAGCTGTGGCAGACATCACGGCGTCTTGACCACTAGGCATGCCCACTGCTAGAACTTCCCATGTCTCGTTGGACTGACACCAAGGTGGACAACTTGGGGCAGGGATGCAAGGCAAGGTGACCCAGGCGGTGAGCATCTCTCCACACCACCTTGGAAGGAAAGTGTGAAGTATCTAGATTACAGAGGTCATGGGTTAAGGAGTGGCAGAGGGAGAACGCTGCGGAATCCAATACGCTTTATGGAGGAGGCTGTGGAATCCGAGGGATAGGGGGGCAGGAGGGAGGGGGGTTAAATGGGACAGCATGACTATGGACTGGGAGGAGTGGCTGTCAGCCTCAGTTAGCTGTCGCTGGATCTGAGCTCCCTGGACCCATCTCCAGTTCATCTTCCAACGATGGAGGTTCCCTCCCCAACATCCTCTTCTCCCACCTCCCTCCCCTGTCTCACTCTGTTGCCATCTTGTTCCATCATCCTACAAAAGGGATTGACAGGGGTGGGCGTTTGGTGCGGCAGCTCGGATGCCAGGGGGAATGCCGATGTCCCACTTCAGGGGCCCCGGGCTGCAGTCCTGCCTCTGCCCCCCACTCCACTCTCCTGCTGATGCTCTCCTGGGAGGCTGTGACGATGGCTCAGGTACTCATGTTTCTGCTCTCCACGTGGGATTAGTTCCTGGCTCCTGGCTTTGGTTTGGACCAGCCCCAGCTCTTGTGGGCATTTAGGGAGTGAATCAACAGATGGAAGACCTCTCTCTCTGTCTTTCTCTCTCTCTCTCTCTCCTTTCCAAGTGCAAGTCCAAATGCATAATTTAAAGAGAGAGAGGTTCAGGGCAGGGCCCGGCCCTGTCTGGAGTGACTCGGTAGCTCTCCTCGGCTTGTCCGAGGTGTCCGCCTCCAGCAGGACACTCGGATCCGGAAGGAAGCACTCCAGTCCCTGTGAGGTCTAGAGCTCCAGTGAGGACCAAGTCCCGGATGCATATCACAAAGTCCCTGCAGGTTTGTGGACTAGCAAGAGGCCGCCCAGGCCCAGCCCTCCATGGCATCCCCACCCCGGAATGGAGCAGGGTCTCAGTAGCTTCACCCACCCTGGTTCAGGCGCCAACATTGCAGAGTGTTTGTGAAGCAAATTAATTCTCACAGAGACTGCAAGGGATGGAGCCAACCTGATGGGACCTCTTTTAACCTCTTTTAGAAGGTCTTGTTTACACACCAACATCTGATGCGCTCATGACAAGTCCTTGTCTGGCCTGTTCACCAACACAGGTCCCCAACGACCCCCTTGTTAGAGCTCTTGTTATCTTTGTACTTAAAGCTAAACTAGTTATGTCACTTGTAGGATTCACGCCTTCAGAAAACATAGACTAACTTCTCCCGTTAGTCCAGTTTAGGAATAAGCAGTACTTCCAGTGAATTGCTGTTCCCGGCTCATCCTTAGGACACTTTAGGGTTTTCTCCTATGCCGTGCATGGACCAAAGGAGGGGAGGAAAGCACTCGTGGGCTCTCAGGCTCACAGGTTAATTAATGTCCATGAGTGGGGTGTGGGGCACCTGACCACCACGTCTGTTTGTCAGCGAACACAGACTGGGTGGAAGAAACTTATTTTTTTTTATGGTTCCAGAAGCTAAAAGCCCAAGATCAAGGTGCCAGTAAGGTTAGTTTCTGGTGAGCCCTCTCCTCCTGGCTGGCAGCAGCTGCATTCCCATTGTGCAGAGAGAGAGACAAGACAGAGACAAACAGAGAGACAGAGAGACTGTATTGGGGCCTTACGCTTATAATGGCATTTAACCTTAATTACCTCTTAAAGGCCCTATCTCCAAACCTAGTTACATGGGGATTAGTAGTCCAGCGTGTGAATTTGGGGGGAACACAATTGAGCCCCTAACACCAAACACTCCTGCCCCTATCAACCCAAAGTCCTCCAGTGTGGACTTCTTGTTTGTCCTTGGTAGGTTCTCCGTGTTCGGCCTGGGCTCACGGGCGTACCCTCACTTCTGCGCCTTCGGACATGCCGTGGACACCCTCCTGGAAGAGCTGGGAGGGGAGAGGATCCTGAAGATGAGAGAAGGAGATGAGCTCTGTGGGCAGGAAGAGGCCTTCAGGACCTGGGCCAAGAAGGTCTTCAAGGTAATCTGACCTCATGAACCTGGGGCAGGAAGCGAGGTGTCCCTCACCACTTAGGGACGTGGCCTAAACCACTAAGGAAGAGAAAGCACTTGAGAGAACTCCTGGCATCTGTCCCAGGTAGAGCTTGAAACAGCTCGGGTGAGGCTGGATGGCCTGTGCACGCACATGCACACATATACACACATGCATGCACACACGTGCGCGCGCACACATGCACGCACGCACACACGCACACGCTTTCCACTCCCAATCCAGCATGGTGCATTGTGGGCAAGGAGCTGGTCCTAGAGCCTGGGAAGCTCAGGACTCAGGGGACTGTCTCCCCACTTCACGTTGGGTAGACCAGCACCCGAGAAACGGAGTCCCAGCCAGGCCGATGGGCCATGCCTCGTTGAAATAAAATAATCTTTTAAAAACTCAAATCTCCCCAGATCGTCTGCTGGGACAAGCTTGTCCCTCCTGGGTCCCATGTCACTCACCAGCACGGTAGTTCCTGGCCACACATGGCCATTTAGATGTCAACCTAAATGACTTTAAATCAACTACAACGAGTGGCTAAATAAAGCGTGGGTTAACCATATGTTGGGGCATCTTTTGGCCACAGGAGGGGATGAAGCACCCATAAGTAGCACACCACAGGTGAACCTGGAATGCAGGACGCTAAGTGAAAAAAGCCAGTTGCAAAAGACCACATGCCAATTTGCATATCTTTTCTTGGCCAATAGAGCTAAAGACCCATCACACTGTTTGTGTTTTTCAAGACCCAACCTGTCATTGGCTATTTCTCTGGGATTATTTTATTTCTTGTTCTCTGCTCTGGTGCTTAAATTTGTGTACCTCCAGATGCATTTATTTTTGCTAATGCACATAATTTAAGCTAAACACGTCCTTCTCTGCATTCCTTTGTTGCATTCTCTATATTTTGATATGTTGCATTTTTATTTTCATTAAGTTAAAACATTTTCTAGTTTGTATTGCATTGCTTCTTGGCCTTTTGGCTAAGATCAAGTTTAGTATCTAGTTTGCATTGCAAAAAAAAAAAAAAAAAGGCAACATATCATAGGATACCATTCCTGTGCAATTCCAGAATAAGACAGAATAAGAAAATCCACACGGATGGAAGATAGGGCTGAGGGGAGTGGGAACTGGAAATGACTGCTAATGGCTCTGGTGTTTTCTTTTGGGGTGACAAGAATGTTCTGGAACTAGATAGACATGATGATTGCCTAATATTGTGAATGTTCTAAATGCCACTGAATTGTACATTTTAAAACGGTGAAGTTTTTAAAAGATTATTTTATTTATTTGAAAGAGAGAAAGAGAGAGAGAGAGCTTCTATCCACGGGTCCACTCCCCCAATGGCCACAACAGCCAGGGCTGGGCCAGCCTGGAATTCAGGAGCCAGAAACTCCATCTGCGTCTCTCACATGGATGGCAGGGGCCCGAGCACGTGGGCCATCTTCTGCTGCTTTCCTAGGTGCATTAGCAGGGAGCTGGATTGGAAATGGAGCAGCCAGGACTTGAACCAGCGCCCGTATGGGATGCTGGTACCACAGGCGGTGGCTTAATCTGCTATGCCACAGCGCCAGTCCCTATAATGGTGAATTGTGTATATTAGGAAATACAGAGAGAGGAAGATAAGGTTAAAAAACAAATAGAATTAAAAATTGCATTCCTCAGTTGCACTGGCCACATTTGATTTGCCCAGTGGCCACAAGCAGCCCATGCAGAATGTGTCCATCGCGGCAGGAGAGGGAGTGAGCCAGGGACTCACGATTACGCTGGCCTCCCTGGGCTGGGGGCGCTGGGTGTGGACTCTGTCTCCTCCACCTGCTCCTTCCCCAGCCCCCGGACGCATTTTCCTCGGTAGCCCCAGGAGCAGGAAGGGAGAGCGCACCCTCTGTCTTTCCCATGGGACTCTTCGTCTTGCTGGCACACGCACACGGAGGCCCCTGCGCTCCAGGAATGCCCGGGTGGGGACACTGCGTTCCCGCGTTTCTTCTAGACAAGCAGAGCTGAGCTCACCCCGCGACTTCTGCACTTGGGGATCCCTGTCTGGATCTTGACTTCAGCCAAGCAGGCTTGGCTGAGCATCCCGGAAGCGAGACCTGTTAAAAGTCTTTGACACTGGCCGGCGCCGCGGCTCACTAGGCTAATCCTCCGCCTAGCGGCGCCGGCACACCAGGTTCTAGTCCCGGTCGGGGTGCCGGATTCTGTCCTGGTTGCCCCTCTTCCAGGCCAGCTCTCTGCTGTGGCCCGGGAGTGCGGTGGAGGATGGCCCAAGTGCTTGGGCCCTGCACCCCATGGGAGACCAGGAGAAGTACCTGGCTCCTGCCTTCGGATCAGCGTGGTGCGCCGGCCGCAGCACGCCAGCCGTGGCGGCCTTTGGAGGGTGAACCAACGGCAAAAAGGAAGACCTTTCTCTCTGTATCTCTCTTTCACTATCCACTCTGCCTGTCAAAAAAAAAAAAAAAAAAAGTCTTTGACCCTTTAGCTCTCAACCCCCATCCTCCCATCCCACCCCCCTCTCTAGCAACCACTAATCCAATTCCCAACTCAGACTCCCTTGTTCTAGACGTTTCATACGACTGGCATCATGCAGTCGGGGTCTTTCGTTACTGGCTTCTTCCACTTGGGACGTTCTCGAGTGTTACCCACGTTGGATCCGGTGTGAGGACTTCATCCCTTTTATGATCAAGCAATCTTCCGTGGTGTGGCTGCACCTTGTTTTGTTAATCCTTTCGTCTGTCGGTGAACATTTGGATTGTTTTCAAAATAGTCCGAGGCCAAACTATGGGAAAAGCTACCTTTGAGAAAGTGTTTAATTATCGGTGGCTTCTAATCTCAAAAAATTAATTCCGAACAGGATCATTAAAGTTGGAGAACTAATGAGCTTGACACAAAGAAAAAAGGAAGTAAAAATGTAATGCAGGCATCCAGATGTACCGTATGCTCTGCCTCTGTATAATGTTTTACATCTTTCAAGAAAGATGGATTAGAGGTTCTATGGCGTTTACTTTCTCCATTAATAGTGACCCTTTACCCATGTGGGGTTAAGGAATAAATGACACAGTAGTGTTATCTCAAGTAGAGGTTAGATCCTAAACTCAGTGGTAAATGTGATATGCCCGGCACGTCCAAAGCACTCAAAATTATATCAGATGGATATGTATGAGTGTGTGGATGGATGGATGGAGGGGAGGGGCAAAGGATGGATGGGTGGGCAGATAGAAGGGCGGAAGAGTGGATAGAGGGATGGGTGCATGGATGGATGGGTGGGAGAAAGGGTGCGGAGAGGGGTAGGTAGATAGAGGGGGGATGGATGGAAGGGAAGAAGGGTGGAGAGAGGAATAGAGGGATGGATGGATGATGGAAGGGAAGAAGGGTGGAGAGAGGAATAGAGGGATGGATGATGGATGGGAGGAAGGGTGGATGGAGGGATGGGTGGATAGAGGGGTGGGTGAGTGGGTGGAAGGGAGGAAGGGTGGCGGGGGGGGGGATGAATAGAGAGATACAGGTTGGGAGGAGCCCGTCTTGGCTGAAGGAGGTCACCGCGAGCCCCGTGTGTGCCGCAGGCGGCCTGTGACGTGTTCTGCGTGGGGGATGACGTCAACATCGAGAAGGCAAACAATTCCCTGATCAGCAACGACCGCAGCTGGAAGAGGAACAAGTTCCGCCTCACCTACGTGGCCGAAGCCCCCGGACTGACACAAGGTGCCTCTCCCCACGGGGCAGGGGAAGCGTTCGGGACATAGTGGGAGAGAAGTCAGGAGATCCACCTCCTGTGGGTGCCCAGAGAAGATGCGCCTGGGGGCCCGGGCCTCTCTGCAGTGCAGTCCTCCCAAAATAAACACGGCCCCCACCTCCGCTCAGCAGCAGGGCGCCTGGAGGTCCATGTGTGTGTGGCTTCCTGGTGCAGCCCTTGAACGAGCGCAACCAACTCTCCTTTGTGTTCTACATTATCACAGACACTGCCCCATCCCAACTGATGCCTGCCCGGCCCCTTCCCCCGGGGTTTCAGCTGACCCCAGCACAGGGCACAAGTGGGAGCTGAGAGCCCCCAAAGACTGGGGGCACTTTTTGAGGCGTCTTCAGCCTCCCCTCTGGAATCCCGCTGTTTCCCTCCCCCGCAGGCCTTTCCAGTGTCCACAAGAAGCGAGTCTCCGCCGCTCGGCTCCTTAGCCGTCAAAACCTCCAGAGCCCTAAATCCAGGTAAGAGCACCTTGCTTCCTGCAGAGCTGGCCACCCGCCATGCTGCCAGGGCCGCCCAGCCCAAGGGAGCAGGCCTGGGTGAGGCTGAGGCCCGGGTTCCACCTCGCACCTGTTGCAGAGCGCCAAGACCGCTCATCCTTTGCTGCATTTGCTTGTCTTGTTCTCCTTGGTCATGCAGAAAGGGAGACGGCACTGGCCACTGCGAAAAGAGCAAAGAGAGGGGGGTTTCTGAGTCTTTCTTGCATTGCTTTTTATTTATTTGAGAGGCAAACAGGCAAAGAGAGAGAGAAAGAGAGAGAGAGCTGCCATCTACTGGTTCACTCCCCCCCAAATGCCAGCAGCAGCCTGGGCTGAGCCAGGTGCCAAGAACTCCGTCCAGGTCTCCCACATGGGTGGCAGGGGCCCAAGCACTTGAGCCATCACCCAGTGCCTCGCAGAGTCTGTGTGAACAGGAAGCTGGGGTCAGGCAGCAGGAGCCAGAGCCAAGAATTGAACCCAGGCTCTCCAGCATGAGCTACGACTGTCTTGAGTACCAGGCTAAATGCCCACTTGCTTGCTTTGTTTGTAATCAGCTCTAATTGCCCACTCCCTTAATGAGTCCCTTTGGACAACGGACCACATCCTTGCAGAGCTGCCGCGAGTTCACTGTCCCCTGGCATCTAAGTCAGAAACCACTCAGTCCGTGCGTCTCCTTATTCTACAGCACTTTTTGGTGGAGCGCTGAACACTAGCTGCCCGGATTCTGTTTACATTTCTTTAGCTTGATGGGAGGCTCATTAGCTCTCACAACATCCACTCTGTGTTTTGAAGTGTTAGGAATCATCTTATTATGCGACAGAACCCAGTATCTAATCTATATTACATAGCCTAATATCTTAACACCTGCTCCAACCACGATCTGTCTCCCGGCATCTCCGGTGACAACCAAAGCAACTTCACTTCCTCCCGGCGAGGGCAGATGACTAAGGATGCGGACCAGCAGCCCTCGCGCCTTGGTGCCTACTAGTCGTTCTTCCCCAGCCGTTGGCTTTAGTGGAAGGACACACCCTGGCCTGCGGCACCGGGTTACCACACGCTCGAGGCCATGTGATCGCTGCTGAGTGTGTGCGAGGCTATTCTTGCCCGTGCCGGGTGCCCTCCTGACAGCCCACGGCTGCTGCGTGGAGCCCGTGTCCTTGCTGCCCCTCCACATCACGCCTTCTCACAATGATCAAACCCAGCCCGCCCAGCCGGCGACGCGCAGAAGTCACTCCCGCGGCGCTAATGAAGGCCTCGGCACTGATCCCTGTTGAATGGAATCTTTTTCACTTCGCGGTGACAGCCCGTGGAGACCTTTTGAAATCTTGATTCTCTGCAGAGCCGGGAACAAAGAGTGGGCTCTGGAGCTCACAGCTGGGGCTTTCCGAGCCCCTCTCCGCCCTGCACCAGCTGTGTGGCCTTGGCCAAGTCACCCAGGCACTCTGAACCCTGACTCCTTGTCTATAAGCTGAGAGCAATGGCTCGAAAGGTCGCTGACATTTCTCGTGCTTTCGATGTCCCAGGCATGGGGCTGAGTTCCCCCTGTGGGAGCTCTCCTAATTCCAGCCAGCCCAGGGAGTAGGTGCCGTTACCTGCCACGTTTTACATAGAAGGGACAGAAGGTACTTGTTGAAGGCCACGCCGACCTGGTTTTCTGTCCCCAGATTCGGGGGACACAGGAGGCCACCAGGGCCATTGCAAGGCAGCGGTGGGTGTGGGAGGTGAGCGACCTGACACAGCCAGTGTATCATAAGTTCTGCTTAGCACTCCGTCCTGTCTTAGCTGCAAACGTGGCGTGCGTGCTGCTGTGGTCTCCCAAGCTGTGGGTGAAACAAGCCCCAACACAGAATTCCAGGGCTCTCGCGTTCTCTCCTAGGTCCTCAAACATTAACGAAATGGACCGGGAGACCAACCCCTTGGAAAAGCCAGTTAAATGCCTTAGTGTAACGGCCTGTGATCTAGAAAGGGGCTCTGTGTTTGAATTATGTCTCCGAGTTTCCATTTATGCCCTCTGAAAAAGTAGGGCAGCAGCAGCAGTGTTGGGAGAGAAGGGATGAAGAATCTGATGGAAATTTCTTTCGGTGACAAACTATGAAAGCCCAGCGTACAAATTGCTTTGCAAGCTGTGGAACAGAAATAGCAAGGAGAACTGAGAAGTGTTTCGATGCTGAGTTGAACGAAAGTCCCCGCATGCACCCCCTTCCATCTCCAGCAAGGGCGCCCAACTCTAGACCGAGGGTCTGGTGGGCATGAGCAGGAGAAGATTCCACGCAAGGCTGGGCGCTGCGCGTGGATTCCAATCAGCTGTGCATCAGCACGGCAGGCCCAGGTTATACCTCGCTGCTCGGCTTCTCCAAAGCCTGCCCTGTGGCACTGCCTATTTGCAGGCTTAATACCAGTTCCAGCTTTGCAGGTTTATGAAAAAGGGGAGGGTTAGGAGAATTGGATGGAAAAGCACAACTCTCCGATGTTCCCCTGCCCAAGGCCAAGGTTGGGCTGTTTGGCCCAGGAGCCCATCACCGGGATCTCACAAAGCACCCGCGCTCTGGGCTCTTCACGGCCAGCCAAGAGCTTCAGAGGCAGTAAACAGCCTTTGGAGGGTAATTCTTGCACAGCCAAGGAGAGTGCCTGCCATCCTCATGCCCTTGCCTGGAAATCAACGCCGGGCTGCACGGGCAACAGGGAGCAAACAGAGTGGAAGGGACCGTGGAAGGGCATGCTCACGGCGGGGTGGGGGTGGGTGGGAGCCGTCCTGGAAGTCAGGAGGGAGGGGCGGGTGCAGGCTGGAGCCGAGGCACTCAGAGTGGGCTTGAAGAACGGAGGGAACGGAGCAGGGGAGGCAGCAAGACAAAACCGCAGCAGCGAAGGTGTGGTGCATGGAGGAGCCGGCGGAAGTAGCAGATGTGACGGCAGAGGGCACCTCGTGGGGAGAACTCTTTTTTAAGTTTATTTATTTGAGAGGCAGTAAGACAGGAGAGAGAGCGAGAGCGAGAGCAAGAGCGAGAGCCCATCCATTGGTTCACTCCCCAGATGCTTGCAATGGTCAGAAACTCCATCCAGGGCTCCCACGTCGGTGGCAGGGACCCAACTACTTGAGCCCTCCTCCCTGCTGCCTCCCAGGGTGTGCGTTAGCAGGAGGCTGGAGCCTGGACAGGAACCCAGCAGTGCAGTGTGGGACACAGACATCTTATCTGCCAAGCCAGGCACTCACGGGACTGGAGAGAACCCGAGAGCCCTGCGTTCTCATCTCCTCTTGCATGAAGTCTCCCCTCTGCAGCCTTGCTCGTATGAACAGGGCTCGCCAAGAGCTGGCTTCTGCCCAGCCCTCCCAGGTCGTCCCTGCCTCTCCTCCAACCCCCGCCCCCTCGCTTCACCGGAGTAGCTCAGGGATGCTCTTGACCTTGTCCATCTGCATCTCAGACCCTCAGCTGCTACCCTAAGCAAAGCCACAGCCGTCTCCGCCCTGAGACTGGAGTAGCCGCCTCCCTTGACCCCTTGTGTCTTGGGCTTTCTCTCAAAGATCCACCTGCCAAGCAGCAGGCAGACCAACTTTCTTTCTTTAAAGATTTCTTTATTTATTTGAAAGTCAGAGTTGTAGAGAGATGGAGGGAGAAACAGAGAGGTCTTCTATTCACTGGTTCACTCCACAGGTGGCTGCAACAGCCAGGGCTGGGCCAGGCCAAGACCAAGAGCCAGGAGCTTCCTCCCGGTTTCCCATGGGGGTGGCAGGGGACCAAACACATGGGCCATCTTCTGCTTTCCACAAGCTATTAGCAGGGAAGCTGGATCAGAAACAGAGCAGCCGGGACTTGAACTGATGCCCATATGGGATGCCCAGCATCAGAAGTGGCAGCTTTACCTGCTGTGCCCCCAAACCAGGCCTGAGAAATTTTCTAAAAGCAGAAACTGAAGTATGTCTCTCCCGAGCTTCACAGCCATCTAAGGACGCCTCCAGACTCCTGGCTGGGATGTCACGACGAGGCCCTCGGCATCTGGCCCCTGCCACTCTAAACATCCCAGCCTCCTTTCCTTTCCGCCAATGTACCACCCCGTTTTCCTGCCCCAGGACCTTTGCACGTGCCAGTCTCCCTTTCCGGAACACCCTGCCCCAGATCTCTGCATGCCCACTCCATCTCATTGTTCAAGCCTCTGCTCACAAAACCAGATCACCAGGGAGGCCCCCAGACCATCCTGACACAGCCCCCTGCCCCCAACCCTGACCACCCACCCATCGACATCACCAGCCCCATCTAAGATCTTTGGCGGTGACTTCTCCATGGAAACGAAGCCCTTGTCCACCATGCTCTCATCAGTGCCTGGAACAGCGTGTGACACTCGATGTGAACTTGTCGAACGAATGAACCTTGTGAGCTCCAGTGGCTCACGACCGGCAAGGTTTCCTCTTTCCATTGAAGAGTGAGCGTCAGGTGTTTGGGTTTTTAGGTTATTTTTTTTTTCCGGTGCTGGACTTTAGCAGGTTGTTCTTTCTCCTGTAAACCTGTCATTGGACCACTATGATGCAGGGGGCCGGGGCGGGGAGGCCTGTACCTGGGCACATCACACTTCCATATGTGGGAGTGATATCACACAAGGAGCCTCCTCCAAGGGGCAGGGCCCACGTGGCCACTGCTGTCCCTGCACTTCCCTCTCCCCCCTCCCCTTTGCTTCTCAATGGCCCGTGGGCATCCCAAGCTTGGACAGGCAGGTAGAGGGGGCAGGCGTCGGGAGTAGTGGTCAAGGGGTCGCTGGGGATGCCCACGTCCCACATCAGAGTGCCTGGGTTGTGGTTTGACTCTGTTCTCTGTTGAAGCTTCCTGCTAAGGTTCTCCCAGGTTGGGGGCAGCAGGTGACAACTCAAGTGGTTGGGTCCGTGCTGCCCATGTGGGAGATCAGAGTGGAATTCCTGGCTCCTGGCTCCTGGCTACAGCCCAGCCCAGCCCTGGCTGTGCAGGCATTGGGGGAGGAAACCAGAAGATAGGAGCTCACACACCCCCAGCAGATCTGAGGTTGAAGACATGGTTATCGGGGCCAATGCTGCCCCCTGGAGCCTGGGTCCCAGCCGCACGTCTGGCAGCAGCTGGGTGGCCGCTGGGTGCTGGACTTCTCAGCAGGGGCCCCCCTTGAGTCAGCAGACAGGGCCACAGGGGCCAGCCGCCTCCGGTCCACCTGCTCCCTCCCACCCCTGCCCCTTATCTGCCCGGCCACCTTCTGCCACGCTCAGGAGGACACGGGAGGACGCGGCTGTGCGCGTGAGCCAGCTCAGCAAGTTCGGGTCCTGGGCGCTTCTATTCTGTGCACGCCGCGAGCATCAGAGAAGCGGGAACTGATTTGCGGGCCACCCGTGAGCACTGGGGGTGTCCGCGTTAGAAATGCCACAGCGCCCCCTGCTGGCTGTTCACTGCTGCGAATTCCCTTTCTGGGGCCGGTCGTGGGTAATGGTGTCTTTGCCACATTTTTTTGATGGCCTCAAAGACTGGTGCCAGTTTGGAGAAGAATCAGTTGGGCAAGACTAAATAATTGACAAGATTAGTGCCCTGCAGAGGGCAAGATCTTCCCAAAGAAGGAGTGAGGACCCCAGCCCTTAACACCACCCTTCATAATCATTGCCATCAGTCACCCACCACAGTAAGGACAGGGGTGCTTTGCTTCAAGAAAATACTTAAGGGCCACTGTTGTGGCCTAGGGGCTTAAGCCTGCAATGCTGGCATCTCATATGGGTGCCAGTTCAAGTCCTGGCTGCTCCACTTCCGCTCTAATGCTAATGTGCCTGGGAAAGCAGCAGAAGATGGCCCGAGTGCTTGGGTCCCTGCACCCGCATGGGAGACCTGGATGGAACTCCTGGCTCCTGCCTTCAGCCTGGCACAGCCCTGGCTGTTGCAGCCATCTGGGGAGTGAAACACTGGATGGATGGAAGATCTCCCTCTCTCTCTCTCCCTCTCTCTCTTTCTCTCTCTCTTTTCCTCTCTATAACTCTGCCTTCCAAAGAAATAAATAAATCTTAAAAAAGAATAGTTAAGATCCACCCCCCCAAAAAAATGTGCCAGCTCAACTATTTTTAATAATGGCAGCTATTTGGAGCACAAAAAGGCTGTTGGTTGTGCCAAAAACTCCTTTATGTAGGGAGTCCATTGGTCTATTTAAGGTTGATTGACATCCTGTGGAGAATGTAGAAGCTTCATGTTGAATGTCAAATGTTTCTGTCAACGCAAAGCCAACTGGCACTGAAGAGAAGGCAGATCTGAAAAGCAAGTGGCTCAGTAGCTCAGTACGCCCAGGGTTTGGTTCACCCAAGTGTCGCACAACCCAGCATCGGCAGGTGTCATGGAGAGTGCGCTGCACCTGCCCGAGAACGAGGAAGAACCAGAATAATCACATTCGGAGCATGCATTTGGCAGGCCAGCTAGAGAGCCCAGCACTCCTGAACTTGAGACACAATCATCAATGCCAAGGGGCATGGCCCAGCGGGTGTAACCAAGTTTCTCTCTGTGTTTCCTTCTTGGAGCTCTCAATGGTGTTACATTGGTGACTTTGTGCATAAAAGGAACCCAAGCTTAAGGTCAAGGTGTTTTGTTTTGCCCTTGACCATGACAATATGAAGACCCCTGGCTGCAAAAAGAGGTAGAGCTTGGAATTCTCAGGAGAGGTAGAATTGCACTGACTGGTGACCCCATTGCTGGTGACCGCAACAGTTCAGATGCCTGGGAGCACCCCAGCTGGTACAGAGAACAGGAGCTTTTCTGGCAGTCGTGTTGCTTCATTCACATTTCCTGAGCACACAGTGTGTGCCGTGTGCTGGCGGGGGCACCAGGGACAGAGCCACGGACAAAACAGACAAATTCACTGGTCAGGGACAGACCACAAACCACAGGAGGAAGCAGGCTGGGGGTCAGAAAGATAGAGAAGCCGAGATTTCTGAGAACTGAGCCCTGGGGAGCATCAGCGCCCAGGGTCTGGGGAGATGAGAAGGAGCCAGCAAGAGAGACTGAGCAGTGCTGCTCCGGGGATTCCGATGAGCCCCGGGGAGCGCCCTCAGCTCATGGCTGACATTGGGAATGATGGGACACAGCCTGGCTGGGAGGCTGGACAGGGACGGAAGGCAGGGGCTGCAGCCGAGATGGCCCGGCACAGGAGCAGTGGCCCCTGTCCCATGGTTGCCCCCGCCCTCCCCACAGCCGCTCCACCATCTTCGTGCGTCTGCACACCAACGGGAGTCAGGAGCTGCAGTACCAGCCTGGGGACCACCTGGGGGTCTTCCCTGGCAACCACGAGGACCTCGTGAACGCCCTCATTGAGCGGCTGGAAGACGCGCCCCCTGCCAACCAGATGGTCAAAGTGGAGCTCCTGGAGGAGCGGAACACAGCTTTGGGTAACACCCCCCGCAGCCCCGCCCCTGCCCAGGGAGTCCCAGGGGGGCCGGGTGTCTGGGGAAGGGGAGACCTATCCCTCTCCCCACACAGCAGCCTGGACAGGAGAGGAGGATGCCCCTTTCTGACCAGCCTCGGCCCAGCCCTGGGGAGATGAGGCTCCTCCCTTCCTCCGAGTGTGATGGGGGTCCCTTTCGCTGCTTTCCTTGCCTCCACCGCCCCTTGGAGACAGCTGCAGGGCCTCACTGCCCACCAAGGCAGTAGCAGCTGAGATCTAACCCCGCATCCTCTTAGAATCAATGGCCAGCCAGGGATGGAGCCACTGGCTCTCACCTCATTAGGTTGAAGCTGCAGGCTGTGGGCGTGAGCGTCCTTGATATTCACGCTGGGGGACTGTCCAAGGCAGAAGACTCTTGGGGCCTCGGCTCAGCAGGCACATAGGAGCCCAGGGCTCTGGTCCTGGGAAAGACGGTGACCTTCCACGGCAGCGTGGTACGTGGCCGCAGCCATTGCAGTGGAGTCACCGTGGGAATCAAGGTAGAATGTGACAGTGACAGCAGTGTGTAGGGACTTCCAAAAGTTCGCGGAAAACGGAATGAACAGGCGGGCTGGTGGAGGGGTACGTGGTGCACTGACCAAGCTCGCGATGCCTGCAGCTCCTGGCAGAGGAGGGATTCCAGTCCCAGCTCTGCTTTTGATTCCAGCTTCCTGTTCGTGTGTGTCCTGGGAGGCACCAGATGATAGTCCAAGTACTTGGGTCCCTGCCGTGGGAGTCCCAGATTGAATTCCAGGCTCCTGGCTTCCCCCCTGGCCCAGTCTCTGCTATTGTTGGCATTTGGGGGAGTAAGCCAACAGATGGAAGATGTCTCTGCCTCCCTCCCTCCCTCCCCCTCTTTCTCTCCCCATATTTCAAATATAAATTAATCAGTAATTTATTTATTTGAAAGACAGATCTATATAAAGAGAGAGGATGAGACAGAGATCTTCCATTCACTGGTTCATTCTCCAAATGCCTGCAACAGCCGAGGCTGGGCCAGGCTGAAGCCAGGAGCCTGGAGCTTCCTCTGGGTCTCCCGTGTGGGTGTAGAGGCCCAAAACTTGGGCCATCTTCTGCTGCTTCCCCAGGTGCATTAGCAAGGATCCAGATCCTAAGAGGAGCAACTGGGACTCGAACCAGCGCCCATATGCACTGTTTAAGCAGGCGTTTAACCTGCTACGCCACAGCGCCAGCCCATAAATTTAAAAAAAAATCACATAAGTTTATTCTGGTGCAAAAAATAACAAATTCAAGTATCGTTTTGTCATACTGCTCGTTTTCCGTGAACTTTTCCAAGACCCCTTGTATAGTCGCAACCATACTGGGAATTCCTAAAGGATGCAGCACCTGGAGAAAAACACGGACTAAATCCAGCCCCGTGGGTTCTTTCTCCTTGCGGGAACACAGCTTTTTGTCTTGGGCTGCGCTCCTGCTGAGGTGTGTGGATGGAAAGTACAAAGTAGGAGTTAGAACAAGGTGTGACGCTAGACTGCCTGACTTCACGCTCGGGGGCAGTGTGACCTGGGACAAACCCCTTAACCTCTCTGTGTGCCCTTTAATCTCATGGAACGCCAGCCCTCACCAGGAGTTAGTGACAGCCGCTACTGGGGAGGGCGCTCGGCGCGGAGAAAGCACCAGATGAGTGTTATTCGCGCCCAGAGCCTCCACAGGCGCCGCCCGCAATGCCGGGGCAGTGGCGCGCTGTTCTCACGTGCTTCTCTCCTTTCCTCACTTCTGTATGTTGGAACCGGTTTCCCTGATTGGGCTTGCTTCCCGCACACGTGAGCTCCCCACACGGCCCCCTGGGCCCTGAGAGCGGGAAACCAGCATGGCAGGTGGCGGGAGAGCTGGTGGGTTGCAGAACCACCCTGCTTACCCAGCCCCAGCCTCTGCCCCGGGAGCAGGTCTGGACCCCCTGGCTGGGAGCCAAGCCCTCCCGCGCCCCGCCCAGCCCAGCTGTATCCCCACAGGCGTCATCAGTAACTGGAAAGACGAGCCCCGCCTGCCGCCCTGCACGGTCTTCCAGGCCTTCAAGTACTACCTGGACATCACCACGCCGCCCACGCCCCTGCAGCTGCAGCAGTTTGCCTCCCTGGCCAGCAACGAGAAAGAAAAGCAACGCCTATTGGTCCTCAGCAAGGTGTGCCGCCCCAGCCCCACCCCGGGGGTGCTCCTCCTCTCCTGGTCTCTGGGAGCTGTGACACTGTATTCTGACAGTTTTCCAGCAGGGGGCAGTCTTGAGCGAAGGTTGCCGGTCTATTTTGCACAAGGTCCGTTTTGGTCGGAGTTAAGCATCATCTCCCTTTGCTTGTTGCTAACTGAGGCCTGACCGAACAGGAGTGGGCCCCCGGGAATCCCAGAGTTGTGTGCCACGATAGAAATTGCTGTCCTAAATCTTTTGCTGCCTTCCACCCTGAGCTTCCGTGAATTCCATCTTAACCCATATTTAGAAGAAAGAAACGGAGCATCACGCAGGGCCTTGACTTAAAAGTAAGCTTTTTCTGGCACCGGAGAACAGCAGGGTAGGGCTGACTGCTGGAGATTAGAGGCCTCTGGTCAGCTGAGCAACACACAGCTTCTGCCACCCTCACAGGGCAGTCACTGGCTCAGCCCCCACAAGCTTCCGCCAAGCCTCACTCAAGGAGGATGCTCCCCAGGGGCAGGCGTAAGATGCCTCCCGAGACGTCTACATCCCAGAATCAGAGGGCCTGGGCTTCACCCCAGCTCTGCTCCCGATTCAGCTGCCTGCTGAAGCTGACTCCGACAGACAGCAGGCGATGGCTCAAGACCTTGGGTCCCTGCCACCCATGTGGGAGACTTGCATTGAGTGCTAGGCTCCTGGCTTCAGCCTGACCCAGCCCTGGCCATTGAAGGCGTGTGGGGAGTGAACCAGCAGCTGGGAGATCTCGTTCCATCTGCCTCTCACTATCTGTCTATATCTCTGCCCTTCTCCCTCTCCCTCTCCCTCTCCCCCCTCCACTTTTTTTAAAGATTTATTTATTTGAAGGCAGAGTTACAGAGAGGCAGAGAGAGAGAGAAAGAGAGAGAGAGAGAGAGAGGTCCTCCATCCGCTGGTTTACTTCCCAGATGGCCGCAATGGCCAGAGCTGCACCAATCTGAAGCCAAGAGCTTCTTCTGGGTTTCCCATATGGGTGCAAGGGCTCAAGGACTTGGGCCATCTTCTACTGCTTTCCCAGGCCATAGCAGAGAGCTGGATCAGAAGTGGAGCAGCCGGGACTCGAACCAGTGTCCATATGGGATGCTGGCACTGTAGGCGGTGGCTTTACTCGCTACGTCACAGTGCTGGCCCCATCACCTTTTCTAATAACAGAATCTCACCCAGGAAGCCCACCAAGCCCCTCCCAGGGGGTCTCCTCCAGTGAGCAGGTGCTCTCTCTCCTGCAGTCTGGGAGGATAGCTTGAAGGGCAGGCAGCAAGGAAGAAGCTAATTAGCAAGGAAGCATTACTTAGAAATAGAGAAATCGACACCAAGGGTGACAAGGATTCCTCTAGGGAGTTGGAAACAGATGGCAGAAGTAGAAAGGAGGCCACCGTTTTCCATCATGAAAACAATGGTTGTTATTTAACTTTTCAGACACTATGCATTGTATTGATCTCAAACTTTTAATTAACGGGAGGGGGGCTAAGGCGGGGTAATCTTTAAAAGTTTGGGGAAAGTGGAATTACAAAGTAGGTTTATTTTGGTGCAAGAACATTTTGAAATTCATGCATTTTCTGTGAACTTTTTAATGACCCCCTCATGTGCACAGCTTTCAAAAATGTTTGCACCAGAACAAGCTCATCTATTTTTCCACGAACTTTTGGAACGACCTCCTTATGAAGGACCAGGGCGGGGTTCCATCTGGTGCCTTGGCCTGGGCTGTCCCGCAGCAGTGCAGCCAACACACAAGTGAATGGGCACGTGTGGCCGTGTTCCAATCACACTTTATTTATGCACACTGAAATTTGAATTTCATATGATATTTTTGTGTCATGAAATGGTATTTTTCTCTCCATTTCTTTTCTAAGCAGTTAAAAATGCAAGAACAACTCGTCCCTTGTGGGCCATTTGTAAGAGGCAGTGAGCCTGAACTGGTGGGTGGGTTCAAAACCCAGCCTCATCATCTAATAGGCCTAGAGCCTGTACATCCCTCGATATCCCCATCTGTGAAATGAGATAACAGTGTTCTCTGTAGTGGTCTGTATGTTGTGTCCCCCCAAAACTCGTATGTTGAGCCCTAACCCTGAGGTGACAGTGTTCACATGGGGTGTTTGGGAGGAGACTGTTCATGAGGGCTGGAGCCCTCACGAGTGGGATAGCAGCCCTTAGAGGAGAGGCCCTGGCACCAGTTCACCTGGTTCACCTGGTGAGGAGGCACAGCAGGTGCCACCTACAAGGAACAGCCCTCCCCAGAAACTGAGTCTCATGGGGCTTTGACCGTGGACTTGCAGCCTCCAGAGCCGTGAGTGACTCTGCGTGGCCCAGAGGCAGGTGCTCGGATGCAGCCAGGAGTGGGCCAGCGCCTGTTGCCCGAAGGCCTTCTGAGGATCCAAACCTGGCCCGGGAGGGTGCCCGTGGGGGTGTCCAGATCTTTCCTTTTGCTCTGGCTTCTTCCCTGGGCCTCCTCAAGAGCCCAGAGCTGGCTTCACGCCCGTCTCTGCCCCTCTGCCCGGCGCAGGGTCTGCAGGAGTACGAGGAGTGGAAATGGGGCAAGAACCCCACCATCGTGGAGGTGCTGGAGGAGTTCCCGTCCATCCAGATGCCGGCCACCCTGCTGCTCACCCAGCTGTCCCTGCTGCAGCCGCGCTACTACTCCATCAGCTCCTCCCCAGACATGTACCCCGACGAGGTGCACCTCACCGTGGCCATTGTCTCCTACCACACCCGAGGTGGGCACAGGCGCTGGGAGGGCCTCACAGTGTCCACGGGCCCCCATGGAGCAGTGGCTCATGGGCCAGATCCCAGATCCTGGCAGGGGACTCTGGGACGAAACCAGGAAGGGAGGGAGGAAGCAGAGCTGGAAAATCGTGCCCTGGAGCAGCACCAGTCCCCTGGGCAGCATCGAGAAGGAGGCGAGATGTGCATTTGGAAGCCTCAGCTGAGAGTCCCCCGTCACTGGCTCCACCACCCCCTCCCCACCCCTGGCAACAGCTAAAACAAGCCACCACCAGCCGCGCCCCGGGGAGCTCCCAGCCACTTCGTACCCATGTCGGCCACTCGGCTCCCGGGTTTCCACCCATTGACGAAGCAATTACAATGCACGGTGCTACACGAGTGCTGAGACCAGGATCTCAGCAGCCCACTGCGGGTACCGGGTCTGAGGCTCCCTCAAGGGGGCAGGATTTGAATCCCACCCACCAGCCCCCAGCAGAACCTTGGGTGCTTGCCAAGCCACAAGCCCATCCCCAACTAGACCAGGAGTTCCAAAGGCAGAAACGTGGTGTTGGCCATGAGCATTCTTTACTGGGGGGCGTTGGGGGGGGGGGCATGATGGGAGGCGTGGGGCCAGGGGGCAGCCAGGCCACCATGTTTCTTCTTGTAGACGGAGAAGGACCAATTCACCACGGTGTGTGCTCCTCTTGGCTCAACCGGATACCTGCAGACGAGGTGGTGCCCTGCTTTGTGAGAGGGTGAGCAGCCCTCTCAAATCTCCCCAGGGATGTTGCGAGCTGGGGTGGGTGGCCAAGCCTGCATGGGTGGTCTGGATCCCAGGGGACCTGGACGTGTGTCCTGTATCCCTCCACGTTGAGGAACCAGGATCGGGAGACACAGCAACGTAGCAAGCTCAGGAAGCCTCCTAGTCAAAGGCAAGCCAGTGTATAAGCACCTGTCAAGTGTTTTTGCTGTGCCAGAGGCCAGGGCTACAGTGGAATACCAGGCTAAGGTGGGCTCGCCCTTCCTGGAAGGTACAGACTAGTGGGAATTCTATCCAGATTCTGCCGGGCACCCCCAATCTGTGTCCAGGTTCTTGGAGATGGGTAAGATCCAACCACCTCCATCACCAGAAACTTTTCCTCCCAAACTCAGCTTTAAAGGATGCCCCAGAAGGGTCAGCATCATGCCACAGCTGCTTAAGCCCCCGCTTGCAATGCCACCATCCCATACTGGTTCTAGTCCCCGCTGCTCCACTTCTGATACAGCTACCTGCTAATGTGCCTGAGAAAGCATGGCCCAAGGGCTTCATCTACCGCCCCTCACATGGGAGACCCAGACCCAGATGGAGTTCTGGGCTCCTGGCTTCAGTTTGGTCCAGCTCTGGCTGTTGTAGCCATTTGGGGAGTGAACCAGCAGATGGAAGGGGTCTCTCTCTCTCTCTCTCTCTCTCTCTCTCTCTCTCTCTCTCACACACACACACACACACAGTGCCTTTCAAATAAATAAATCTCTAATTAAGAAAGGGATGTAGCTGAGCCTAGGCCTGTTACAGGTACCTGCCTTGCCAGCCATGGACTCTCCTCCCAAACGTGGCCTGGGACAGACGCTGGGTTTGGAATGTCCAGAGTGGTCCACGTACCATTGGCATCCGAATCCCGTGCAGTGTTTCAAAAACACAGAGCCCAGACTTACTGCTTCGCCCAGGAGTGTGTGCCTTTTAAAACTTTTATGTATTTGTTTTCATGTGCGAGGCAGAGAGATGGGGGGAGAAACACGGAGAGAGAGAGAGAGACTCCCTGTCGGCTGGTTCGCTCTCCAGAAGCCCCCAGAGCTGAGAACTCCATCTGGCTCTCCCGTGTGGGTAGCAGGGACACAGGAACTTAAGCCATCCCTGCTGCCTCCCCAGGTGCGTTAGCAGGAGGCTGGGATCAGGAGCGGAGCCGGCACTCAAAGCCAGGCGCTCTGATGTGGGATGCTGGCCTCCTAAGCGATGGCTGAATGGCTACACCTGCCACCTGCCCCAGAACCCATGCTTCCACCATCCCCAGGTGGTTCTTTTGTGCACTGAACTCCCTGACTTCAGGTTAGGTCGGTGGTTTCCACCCATCCATGCTAGGGGACGCTTGGCGGTGTCTGAAGACACTCGGGTGTCACAACTCAGGGTTGCTCCCGGCATCGAGTGGACAATCATCAGGGTGCTGCCCAGCTTCCCGTATAGCACAGGGCAGCCCCCAGCAAATGTCCAGCCCCAAGTGCCAGCAGTGAGGAGAGAGGCAGAATGGAACAACAGCCAGACCCTGAGGACCTCGTCTTTCTGGAATATTCCCACACACGTGGGGCTCCCCCTGGCCCCAGTCGAAGAGCTGCCAGTCGGGCTGCTTGGCTCCCCGTGACAGCCGCCTGATCTGCCTGAGACCGGGCTGTGCTCCCCTAGCCTGGAGCCCAGCAAGGCCTCTGCCTCTTCCCTCCCTGTGCAGTGCGCCCAGTTTCCGCCTGCCCCGGAACCCCCAAGTCCCCTGCATCCTGGTGGGGCCGGGCACCGGCATCGCACCTTTCCGGAGCTTCTGGCAACAGCGGCAGTTTGACATCCAGCACAAAGGTGAGTGACAGCCCAGTGGCCTCTCGCGTCCTACCCCGGGGCTCAGCGGCCCCAACACTGCGTCTCCCCATCGTGTCGCGGCCTGGGAGGAGCCGGAGGTAGTGCTGGCATTGTCCATAGGACTAAACTGCTTCCTAGCTCGTTCATCCCGGGGGGACGTTGCTGTCACTGTGACGATCTGGCCCCCTCGTGAGAAGCCAGGAGCCCTGGATGGGGCCGGCGTTAGTCCCCAGGACCGATGTTTCTGTGACTGTCCCAAAGGCTCTGGTTTGAGAGCAAGCCTTGCTGTGTGAACCACACAACAGAGGTACTTTGGGCGAAATGGGGAGATGGATGCACACAGTGGCGGCGTGCATTAAACAAGCATGTATTGAGCACCTACGGAGTGCCCAATGGTGTTATATGTGCCCGGAGTGTGGCAGTGAACCAGACAGAAAAAAACAACCAAAAGAAAAAAGAAAACCTGTCCTGGGCAGTCACGGCTCTCGCAGAGCGAGCGCAGAGAGACAAAGCGAGCCCTGGGCGCCCAGCACGGTTTTCGTATCTCACCTTCATTTTCCCAAGCAGTGCTGGGAGGGGGTGCTGTTGTGACAGTCGGCCGTGTTGTGTGCTCCTCCACAGACTGTGGGTGGGAGACATCTGGGGGGCAGGGGGATTGCATCTGTCCTGAACACGTACATTTTCTGGTTGTTGGTCCCTAAACGGTGCAGAATACAAGCTATCCACATAGCACTGGTGTTGTCATGGGTGGACATCATCAGGAGATGAGCTGAGTCCATAGGCTACGTGCAGACACTGTGCCGCTTCCTCTAAGGGACTTGGGCATCCCCAGGCTCTGGTACCCTCAGGGAGGAGGAGGGGGCTCTAGCACCAACCTCTGCCCTGTGAATACTGAGGCTTGGCTCTTTCTGTTTTGCACATGGGGAAGTGTTTTGCAAGTTGTTCATCACCACGCAGAGCTGAGATTCGAACCCTGGGCCTTCTAGCCCTGGTGTCTGTGTTCTCAGCGCTACCCAGTGGTGGGGTCTGCTAAGTGGTGAGGGGGGCAGAGGAGCAGCCGAGGCCCAAGAAAAGAGGTCCGCCTGGTTCCTCCAGTGTGTGTGTGTGCGCGTGTGCATGGGCACAGGTGTGTGTACATGTGTGTGTGTGCACGCAGAGGCCCCGCCCACCCCGTGTTCATGAGCCTCCATGGGCGTGGCACACACTGAGGTCCCGGTCCCCCCACCCCAGCACCTCCACACATCCCCCCCACCCAGCAGACGTCAGCGCCGTGAGTAATGTGCGGTCTTCCTGGTCCCCAGGAATGAGCCCCTGCCCCATGGTCCTGGTGTTCGGGTGCCGGCAGTCCAAGATCGATCACATCTACAGGGAGGAGGCGCTCCAGGCCAAGAACAAGGGCGTCTTCAGAGAGCTGTACACGGCCTACTCCCGGGAGCCCGACAAGCCGAAGGTAACCCCAGCCCCGCGCATGCGCAGTGTGCTCGGGGGGGGGGGGCGTGTCCCCACTCCCGGCCCTGCCTCAACTCTGCTCTGCGCAGTTGTCGCTCTGTGCTCCAGGAAGCAGAGGGAGGCAGAATTTGCAAATCCCCGATCCCACTTACAGGCAAACCCAGAAGGGCGGAGGCACATTCATGGTCGCCAGGGCTGGGGAGAAAGCAGGAAAGGGAGTGGCCGCAGGTGGGGACAGGGTCTCCCAGGGGGGTCCTGGGAATGTTCTGGAACCAGGTAGTGGGGGTGGCTGCATGGTCTTGTGAATGGACATACATTAAAAAAAAAAAAGATTTTATTTATTTGAAAGGCAGAGTTACAGATAGAGAGAGACAGAGAGAGAGGTCTTCCATCTGCTGGTTCACTTCCCAATTGGCCGCAACGGCCGGAGCTGGGCTGATCCAAAGCCAGGAGCCAGGAGCTTCTTCTAGGTCTCCCACGCAGGTGCAGGGGCGCAAAGACTTGAGCCATCTTCCACTGCTTCCCCAGGCCACAGCAGAGAGCTGGATGGAAAGTGGAGCAGCCGGGACTCGAACAGGCGCCCATATGGGATGCCGGCACTGGCAGCAAAGGCTTAACCTACATCACAACGCCGGCCCCTGTGTTTTGTACATTTTTGTTTTTATTTATTTAGAAGGCAGAGAGACAGACACAGAGAGAATTCCCATCCACTGGTGCACTCCCCAAATGCCCACAGCAGCCAGAGCTGGACCAGAACAAAGCCAGGAACCTGAAACTCAATCCAGGTCTCCCCGTCAGGGGAGCCGATCGCTGCAACCTCCCTGGGTGTGTTAGCAGGAAGCTGGAATCAGGAGCCAAGCTGGGACTCGAACCTGAGCCCTCTGGTTTGGGATGGGCCTCCCAAGTTGGCTGCGCCGCATGCGTCACAGGCCCCGCCCTCCCCCCCCCCCCCCACGCAGAAGTACGTGCAGGACATCCTGCAGGAGCAGCTGGCGGAGCAGGTGTACCGGGCCCTCAAGGAGCAGGGCGGCCACATCTACGTGTGCGGGGACGTGACCATGGCCGCCGACGTGCTCAAAGCCGTGCAGCGCATCATGGCTCAGCAGGGGAAGCTGTCGGCCGAGGACGCCGGCGTGTTCATCAGCAGGCTGAGGGTGAGTGGCAGACTGGCTGCCCCCACCCGTCTGCACGTTAGGGATGCCGTGATGGTGTCCCGCCTCCCGGTTGTTACACTTGCAACTCTGGGGGCAGCGGGGGAGGCGCTGCTAGGTGGTGTCAAATCCTGTTTGAGGGAATAGGAAGGCATGTGGGTGTGTGGAGTAAATACGGAGCTATGGTGTATGAAAACAAGTGGGTGGACCTCTGGGTAGCTGCGGAGAAACCAGCCCAAGCCAACTCTACCTGCCCCTGGAACCAAGCTGCCATACTGCCCTGTACAGTCGGGCAGGCTGGGCACTGCACACACACACACACACACACACACACACACGATCTGTCCAAGAGCGAGAAGTGGGATCTGAAAGCCAGCCATGCTGGTGTAGCCTTTTCCTGGCTTGCCCACGACCGGGTAGAGGCGAGTGGGAGAGTCGTAACTATGTGACCTACTGCCCCAGATGCAAAAAAAAAAAAAAAAAAAAAAAAAAAAGGAAGTCCCATCTTCTGCAGAGCTCCCAGGGACACCCGCTCTTTCTCTCCGCCTTCCTGAGTGAGCAGTGATGTGACATTTTTGTGGAAGAAGCTCTTGCTCTATATCTGATGCTAAACTCCTAATGATGATAATAGTAATGACAGCAACTTTGTGATAGAGATGTGTGGCTCCAAGCACAGCCACCCTGGAGCCCCCGTGCACTGGGTCTGTCTGGTGCGACCCTCGGGGAGCTACTTTCTGGGGTCCCCCAGGACTCAGCAGAGCGGAGGTAGAAAACCACCTGCCAAGCTGAAGCCGGTCTGCCGATGGCGGCTTCTGGCTGCGCCATCAGGACCAGCGCCGGTGCATCTCTGCCTCGCCTGGCACGCGCCTCTTCGCCAGCTGCCCCTGGCTGTGCGCTCAGAGCCACTGCCCTTGGAGGGCATCCTATCCCCCCACCCCTCAGGCCGGCCCAGGGGGCTCCCGTGGCTCCTGAGATCCCGGATGCCCGCAGCCCTCCGAGGCTCCCGGAACAATTTCCCCCTCCTCCCCTCCCTGCTAGCCACCATGGGCTACAACATGTCATGCTAAACCCGGCCTGACATTTGCCCCCTAGGATGACAACCGGTACCATGAGGATATTTTCGGAGTCACCCTGCGGACGTACGAAGTGACCAACCGCCTTAGATCTGAATCCATCGCCTTCATCGAGGAGAGCAAAAAAGACACCGATGAGTAAGTTGGCGCCACCCCTGGGGGCAGCAGACCGAACCCTTTGCTCCGGCCCTGTGCCATGGGCATGGATGTCTGGTTTTCCCATGGTGGCTTCCCCAGGCCAGCAGCATGGGCGCCGTCTGGGCACGTGGTAGAAATGAAGATGCCCAGGCCACACCAGACCTGCTGAGTCTGAAGCCCAGAAGTAAAGGTGCCCCCGGTTGCATGTTAAAAATGCCCCCCGGGGTGTAGGAAGCCTACTGTAGATGCTGGCGGCTATCTGGGGCGCCCCCTAGTGGACCGGTGGCTCCTGTCTCTGGGAAGCTGTGTTCACACCAGCTCCCTCCTCACCCAGGCACTGGGAGCTTATTACAGGGGATACGGTTCTGACAATATCACTCAACCCCTAGAAATTGCTGGAAATGGCCTGAGGCTCCACAGTTCTGGGATGGAGTCACGATTTAACGATGACACAGCAGCTGTGGGGGTCCTCTTCCCTCCCTCTGCCCTCCCCTCCACTTCCTGCCCCAGGGCACCTGTAAACCCCTCCACACCTTGAACTCAATGGGAATTCCCGTTTTGCAGTTGCACACACTCATTTCTTTTTTTATTTTTGGAATTTTACTTATTTTTTATTCACTTGAAAGCCAGAGATCTTTCCTCCCCTGGTTCACTCCCCCAAAGGCCAGAAAAGGCTGAGGCTGGGCGGGGTCCAAGTCAGGAGCCCAGAACTCCAGCTGGGGCTCCCACGGTGTATCCGCAGGGAGCTGGAGCAGAAGCAGAGAAGCCGGGACTTTGGTCCGGCGCTCCCAACTCAGGATGCTGGAATCCCAAGTGGCCGCTTAACCAGGACACCAAACACCTACCCCTACCCTCATTTCTTAAATAGCATCCTCGTGAAGTCACATCCTTACGACAGCATGGTAGTCTCCGAAACATACTTCTGCATCCCGTAGGCAGTTGCCTTTAAGAGCACAATTTCCTTGGTTGTCAAGAGCCCCTATAAATGTCTCTCTTGCTGGCTGGTGGTGAGCAAGCATGCGCGTGTGCGTGCCTTCATTCATTCATTCAAACCAAGCCCCACTGTGAGAGTGCTCCAGAGAGTTCATAGAAAATGGGATGAAAGGGTAACTTTTGGTCCAAAAAAATTTTTTTTAATGAATGCGTCCACAAGGGGCCTCGGATTACACAAGAGATGGGTGCTTGGTGCAGCAGTTAGACCCCACTTGGGGTGCCTGCCTCCCATGTCAGAGTGTCTGTGCATCCCAGCTCCCCTTCCAACATAGCTTCCTGCTCATGTGCACCCTGGGAGGCAGCAGGCGAAGGCCAAGTGCTCGGGTCCTGCCACCATGTGGGAGACCCAGATGGAGTTCCAGGCTCCTGACTTGGTCCTGGCCCAGCCCTGGCTGTTGCAAGCATTTGGGGAGTGACCCAGCAGATGGGGGCTCACCTGGTCTGTTTCTGTCTATGTCTCAAATAAATCAAACACATTAAAAAATTGTTTGTCAAGGACATGAAAAGTACACATTATGGAAAAACTGTGTAGGTTTGATTTTTTTTTTTTTTACTCCATTCTCCATGAACTCTTTGAAGACACTAGGGCTACAGGACACACAGGAGAGAGACCAAGGCCCCGAGCCCAGCGCCCTGCTGGACTTGGTTTTCCGGGGTCTCTGGTGGGACTCGGCGCTCCTGCAGCCCTAACCATGTGGCACCTCTCGTCCTGCAGGGTTTTCAGCTCCTAACGGGATCCTCTTGGCCAGACGCTCAGCACGTGCTCCAGCGGGGCGGCTGCAGGCTGTGCGGGAGTGGACAGACATGGCTGACCCTGCCACAGGGCCCCGCGGGGTCCATGCGCTGCCTCTTGTCCTGTCGCTGTGTCCTGGCGTCCTCCCCCAGTGTCCACCCTGTGCGGTTTCCCAGGCCTTCTCGGATCTCTTTCTGTTCCCCTGCTGTGATGCGATGCCTTTGTAATCTGCAGTGGCTCTTACAGCTGTCCTCCCCCCCCCCTCCGCTGACAAGGGCGGCTCGCCGGTGCATGAGACCATGGACGCTGCCACCGTCCCCCCCGCCACATTGTTCCCCCCCCACCCCGCCGCCGCCGGGTGTCCTTGGAACAGCTGCAGGTGTTGGATGGGAGTCTCCTGAGCCCGCCCCTCAGCCACCCAGGTCCCCTCTTCTCTGTTCTGATGATGTCGTTTTGGTGGTGCGTGGTGTGTGTGTGAGGGCCTGGGTCTCTGTCTCACCTGTGCAGGTGCACCGATCCCAGATCTGAGTCTGCCCCTGGCCCTTGTAATTCTTCATGTGTCTGTAAGTAAGGGTCTGTGCCAGTGTCCCTGAAATGCTTGGAAGCCCTCTAATTGTCCTGGTTTTAAAAGCAACAGGGAGAGAGAGATGTGACATGATGGACAAGCTCTCAAGGAAAAAGACTCATCACAAGATTGGATGCAGTGAGGTTCTGACACCAGCAGGTGGCGCCCTCCCTGGGAGATGAGCTCAGCTAATGGATTGGGCCAAACCCATCCCCCTCCACGCCACCCCCAGGCCTGCCATCCAAGATCAAGAGATTTAGCCACATTTATGGACCCCTCTCCCCAGACAATGCCACCTGAAAATAATGTTGCTGCATATATAGCTGCTGCCCCCTCTGCCACCAGGCAGCTTGGGACGAGTCCCTTGTCCCGAGTGTCCCCTGGTCGTGGTAGTGAACTTCAGAGTGCTGGAACCTGGGAGCTGTGCCAAGGAAAACTCTGATCACTGCTTTTGCTGCTACACCCTTGGGGACAGAATCGCGGAAGTGGCTTCCAGGAGCTCTGGGCACAGAAAAGGTATTGGAGCCGCGACTCCGGGTGGAAGAACCTGGCCCATGGGCCTTCAGCTTCTAAAACTGATCCCCCTGCATTTTCACCTCTTGAATGACTTTGACAAGGAAATACCCTCAACTCATAAAATCAGTCGTCCGTGGGATTCGGGGGCAACATTTCCCTGGGAACTTCCCCTCTCCTTGCAAACAAGACAAGGCGCTTTCCACACCTGCGTGCTCAGAAGCTCAATGCCAGGCAGCAGCCAGGCACAGCCAGGAAACCCCTGGGACCCCCAGCCTCCGGGGCGCAGCCCCAGGTCCCTAGGGAGGGAAGAGAAGCGCCCAGCCGGTTCTGTCCTGTTCTGCTCTGCTCTGTCACTCAGAAAGGCTGCCTTCCCTTTCTGTTGCATGCATGGACATCTTTCTGGATGCTTAGTTTGGGGGTGCACCAAGGAGAAAGTGTCCTGGCCCCTTTGGAAGAGCATTAGAGTGAGGGTGCCAAAAGCCCAAGGGGCCCCACCCCAGACTTTTTTTATTTTATTATTTTTTTTCTGACAGGCAGAGTGGACAGTGAGAGAAAGGTCTTCCTTTTTGCCGTTGGTTCACCCTCCAATGGCCGCCATGGCCGGCGCGCTGCGGCCGGCGCACCACACTGATCCAATGGCAGGAGCCAGGTGCTTCTCCTGGTCTCCCATGGGGTGCAGGGCCCAAGCACTTGGGCCATCCTCCACTGCCTTCCCGGGCCACAGCAGAGAGCTGGCCTGGAAGAGGGGCAACCGGGACAGAATCTGGCGCCCCAACTGGGACTAGAACCCAGTGTGCCGGCGCCGCTAGGTGGAGGATTAGCCTAGTGAGCCGCGGCGCCGGCCCCCACCCCAGACTTGTAAAAAGCCGCCCCTGCAATGCCAGCTCCCTGGACTTTCTCTCCAGACCTTTGAGACTTTGGAGACAGCGCCTAAGAGGTCACAGGTTCCCCAGGGACTGAGCCGCTGTGTCCAGCCTCCAGCGATGGGGAGGTGTCCAGTCTTCCCTCCCCAAGTCAAGCTGCCTGCACGAATGCTTTTCCAGCACCAAAAAATATATACTTGGGAGCGCTTAGCAGGTGCCAGCTCCTCCATCTGCAAGATCCCTGGCCTGGTGGCACGCCGGCAGGTGCAGCAGCATCTTGTTTGCAGGGCATTGGAAGAAATGACTATAGCTGGAATCCGTCTGTCTTTAAGTGCACACCTCTCCATCCCCAACACAAGCTGCTCGGTGAATGCTGGCTGAAAGACAGGAGGCGGGTCTGGTGTGTTTCTCTCACTTGTCAGCATTCTCTACACCAAAAAGCCTCGCAGTAGCCAGCAGCTGCAAGAGACGGAGCAGAGCGTTTAGAGTTCAGTGGATAGATACTGCCCTCTGGTGGCAGCTTTTGGTTCGGGCTCCACAGCTCATCGCAGGTGTGTAGTAACAGTTGAGCCTAAAGAAGGGTGACTGGGAATTTGGAGATTTCCAAGGTTACGCCTGCTTCTTTCCCTCTACCCCTCGAGCCCCAACCCCATTTCCCAAAAGTGAGTCTGTCCAGGAGAAATGTAGCACTCTGACACAGGAGGGCTCCTATGCCATGCGTGCAGTTACCTGTGGACCTGGTTCCCACATCTGGTACTATGAGTGCACCAGGGCTCGATTCCCATGGAGAAAGAAGGGAGACTTCCATTGGTTTCCTGGGAGCGAGACAGCCGAGCGTCTGTCTGTTGGAGGGGCTGCTTCCAATTCGCCACAGCAGGACTCTCGGGGATCGCCTAGTCCAAGTGCCCATGCTACCTGAGTGTGCAGATGGCCATGGGCTGGTTGCTTGGGCTTTCCTGTCTGTGCACCTGTACAGCAAGGTGGATCCCATGAGGCAATGCCCATGAAGTGCTCAGTTAGGGTTGCTGGCCCCCAACGTTACCAAATGTGAATTGTTCTCTTCACTCAATCTGGGTCTTGCTGCCCCAGAGTGTACACAGCGCCCCCTGCTGCGTGTGGAGATAAACAGAACACACCTCCTTTCCTCGCACTGTAGGTTAGAAGCAGAAAGCTCGGGGAAAGCGTTCTCAGAATTGGCAGAAATATCTGGGGTTTGAGATACAGGTGCGATGTCACGGGTGGATTTTGGAAGGCAAGAGTTCGCCGGGGAATGGGAGGAGGAGGAGGAGGAGAGGCATGGGTCGGGGAGCGTATCCGGTGAGTCAGGGCTGGCTCTGGGAGCCCGAGGAAGGTGACGGCCAGCCAGGAGCGGACAGTGGGGACAACTGAGGAGTGAATCAAGCAACGTGGGCTGTAATGGGGCAGCACCAGGGAGTGTTGCGGAGGCTTCTCGAAGCAGGAAATGAGGGTGATCGGAGCCAGGCTTGGAAGCGAATGTTCTGGCCGTGGCACCACGTGTGGAAGGCTGCCCCCGGAGCCCTTGATGGTTATTGCCACGCCCAAGACTTGAGTGGGGCAGCTGGGTGATGAAGCTGTTCCGGGAACCCGGGGACCCGATCAGCAGTGCCGGCTGCTGCACCTGCTGTGAGGGTGAGGGCGAGCCAATGGAAGGTTTGCCTGCAGCTGAGGACAGCTTTGGGGGGCTGGCATGACAGCCAACTTCTAGAGCCCACAGGGTGAACCCTCCCTTCGTCCAGCCAGGCCTGGGGGCACAGACCGCCCCAGCCCGTTGTCGTCGGCCTGAGATCATGAGATCTCTCTTGCCAAACATGCTCTCGGCAGCCACGTGCTGTGGGCCCCAGGAGAGGCCACGCTTTGCCCCAAGCCCAGAGCGGGTGAGAGGTTTTCCGACCTTGCTCATGGGGACAGGCACGCCGGATGCCAAGGCTGCTCCGCCCCTTCAGCAGCAGCCCCCGGTGTGGCCTTTTCATCCATGCTGTTAGGAAAACGGGGCGGGGAGGGGCTTCGAGATTGCGCTTTGGTGGACCACGTCTGCTTGTGCGTTTGCACCTCTGCTGCCCCAGGAATGTTCCAGGATCCAGACTTTGGAGCACTGACCCGACTCCCCAGGTGGAAAGTCCACACCCCGAAACCTTGTTTAATGCACAGAATTATTTAAAATGTCCTGAATTGCCTTCAGTCTAGGTGTCAAGGAGAATGAGAGATTTTTGTGTTTAGACTTGGGTCGCATCCCCAGCATAGCTCCTTGTATATGCAGATAGCCCCAAAGCTAAACACACGCACAAAACCGGAAGCGCTTCTGGCTCCAAGCTTTTCGGGTGAGGGATCCTCAGCCTGTAACGCTTCTCAGTGCCACGTGTACGGGAAGTGGCCAGAGTCACGCCGTAGCGTGTTTATGAGTTTGTCCCAGAATATCTTAGCGGTTCTGGACGGGCAGGGGCCGTGAGGGCCAAAGGCAGAGTCAATTATTAACGAGGTGGCCCTGCAGGCAGGAACCAGCCAGCCTGCACACACCGCAAAGACTCCAGGACATCAAAGCACCCAGACTTGGCTCCCAAGCCCTGGGAGGCTCCAGCCCAGGGTCTGACCACCCTGGCACTCCCAGCATTCCGGGCTCGAGGAGTCTTGGGGACTGTCCTGGTCGTTGTAGGATGATGAGCAGCGGCCCTGGCTGCTGTTGCCGGGGGGCTACTAGCAGTCTCCTGCCACTTGCGACCACCAATGTGTCCACCCCCGGCACAAAGCTCCCTGATCATGGACTTTAGGAGCAAGAGGACGTCTACTGGCTGCCCTGGGACTCCTCGTCACTCACTTTCTGCAAAGACAGCAGAGCCTGCTTGGGCCCAGAGGTGGCTGCTTGCATTCTCCACTGCCGGAGACAGGGAGGATTTGGGGGCTGGGGGGGTCTGCTGTCACAAAGGCCCCTCCCCGTCCACAGAGGGATGGGACATTCCAGTCCCTAAGACGGTGTGTTCTTGCTGATGGCTATGACGTAGACTCACCAAGTCCCCGGGCGTTTGTGCTGGGCCGAAGGCCCTGCCCTGCCCTGCCCTGCCCTCTGCCTCCACTGTTCTCATTGTGGTGTTGTCATGGTCGCAGCAACCCCCCTCGCCCCCAACACCAAGGGCATCTGTCCCCCTAGGCGTCCGGCCTGTCCCCAGGGGTAGGGGTAGGGGATGGTGTAAAGAGCGGGGGTCGCATCTCACCACGCACACGCTGTCATACACTGGGACGCCCCCCTACCTCTGAGCTCTTGATGCTGCTAACCTCTGCCAAGTATCTCGTGTGCTCCAACACCTCCCGCGACGGACTGCCGCCCGCCGCGCGCTCTCCGCGAGCTGCCCAGAGCTGTCCAGGCTGTGCCCGCCGCATGCTCTTCCGTATGGTTCTCATCTTCGACTTTCACGGGGTTCCACAAACGTCTCCTTATGCCTGTTTGCATTATGGTTAAAATATTAAAAAGTGGACTCAACGTGGCTGGTGGTTATCTTTGGTTGGGTTTGCTTGGAATGGCTCCCAGTGGTGCCCCCAGGAAGCTCTAGCAGGAAGCCAATAAGGGGGGTGGTCTTGGGAAGGAAGTTC